ACAGCAGAATTTTAGAAGGAAATGTACAAAAAATAGAAAATAGTAAGAAACCAAGTATTTTTGAAGAGTTTTGATTTAGGTATGGTATGGTTAAATGTAATGCTTGCTCTGCTTGCCCATACTTGAGAGTTCTCAGCACTTTTTGGTTTTAAGGGGTATCAGAGGGAGAATATATCAGTGACTTAAAGGGGCAGTTTACTGATAGGCACTTAAGTAAAACAAACAGATATGCTTGAAGTGCATTCTACAGTAACAGATTTATCTTTCTGCATGGCAAATCCTGTAAAAAGCAACGTAATATTTACCATTTTTCAAATGAGGTTTGTAAAACAGGTTTTATAGCACTCCCCACATACTGGTTAAGATTGCACTCTGCTTATTTCCTGTTAGTTTTACTGTTCTTCTCACTTTAGCTTTTGATATCAGAAGTGCTTCACTTAATTTTCTTCCTCTTGTTCTGTGTATAGTTGCATTACTTTGGTCTGCTCTGTTACATTTTGGACTGAAGCCAGCGGGAAAGGTGAGGGGAAATGTGAGATGGGACCAGGGATAACTATAAAATCAAAGCTGTAGACTCATCTCTAAAAAGATAATGCAATGTAACATGCCATTTTTCTTAAGGTATATATAGCAAAAACAATGTGTCCTGTCTTTGCTCTTTGTCTTATCTCTTGCTGTGAGATTTGTTCACTTGCATTTGTATTTATTCACTTGTACATATAGTTTATTTTTAGAGATGTGTGTCAAATGAAAGTAACCAGTGGAAATAATTTAATTAGATAACAAATATATTCAATGCTTGGCCTAGTTGGTTTTTCCTTCAGTTCCATTTAATAACTCTTTGGTATTCTCGTGGCCCCTATTTTGCTGATTATTCAAGCAGTTTCTTCTCTATTTGTCTATCATGGAAACTCAATTATTGTACTGAAGGAATAATAGCTCAGTTTGAACATGATCTGTTTTTATGAATAATTGTTGGCTGCAACTTGTTACAGACTACCCTATGTTAGGAAAGGCTAAGCAATGTAGCTACACATGCATCCCTATGTCAGTAAGCCCTGCTGGCACAGAAGTTGTTTCCACTGGTGAAAATGCATGTTTGTGTGCATAGCCTGTGTTGGCTGTTTTGGGGTTAGGGGTTTTGTTGTTGTTGTTTCAGCAGAAATAAGTATGTCTATACTAAAGTTTTAGCTGTTATAAAATGGCTATAAAAATCACACCTGTAATTCACATAAAACGGTAGCAAAAAGGGTGGGATAGTCCTCACCAAAGCTGCGTGTTCCATGTGGCAGTAAATAGGTGAGATGTGATTTATTCAGAATGGTTTTACATATGCTTGATCCTGCTTCTTAGATAGGAGGTGTAGATTAGACGGCCTCTCAAAATCCCTTCCTGACCTGGGTTTTGCTAGTCATTTAACCTGTAAGTGAAAATTGTTTGAGGTTGCTTAATGCTTTGCCTGTGACTTTATTCTTTCAAGACTTGAAATGTTTCCTTTGTTCTGCTTGGGTCATCATGTCTGCTTCCCAAGAGGGAAGCAGTGATTCTTGCTAGTTTTGCTCCACAATTTAAAATTATCTTCTCCCTTGGATAGATATATCTTGCAGATTTGTCAATTTTGTATTACATCTTTGATTTCACTACTGTATCATTTTTTATATTAAATTTGCAATCTTCCTTGCTGTCCTTATTGCTTTCTGAGCTGAAGCTGTGATTCTTTCTCCTTTTCTTTGTTAGCAGACTATTCCTTTTTTTTTTTCCTTCCTCAATATATTTATTATAGAGCCTGAGAGTACCTTTTGTCTGTTTTATTGATAATACCTTTTGATACAGGTAGGTATGAATCCACCAGTCCTGGGTTTGTGTATCTAGAAATAAACTTTTTGAATGAATCTCTGTTTAGGACTCAAAGGAGAGTATGCAGGGTCTAATTTAAGCACCTAACTCAGACTATCCAGCCGACTTTACAGGAGCCCTAATGGGAAAAGGCCCTCTGATGCTCTGAGTCACATTCTTGATAAGTGTCTGACCTTGGCTACATGGGGGGTCTACCCCCTTGAAACTTAGGGCAGTTTTTCTTAATTTTATTATTTACATTGTGTGCCAAGTTAGCTACTGTGAATTCACTCACCCTTAAAGCATAATTGAAAATTATTTTCTACTTTTCAGTTATTTTCTACTACTTCTTCTCTATATCTCTTTTTCCTTATACAAAATTAAACATTTTAGAAAGATGCATGGTCTTATAGGTAAGATTATTGCTTTTTAGATTATTTCTTCCCCACCAGGTTTTACTACTTTCACCTTGTTCTGAAAATGTCAAAGCTGTGTGCTGTGAATGTTTGACTGTGGGTTATGATATGCCAGATAATTGGCCACCTGTCTTCTGCTGATTACTACTAACACAATACAGCTGATGAATCAGTTAATGAGTTCAATGCAAAGTCAGCCTGTTACCTTAGTTCGCTGTGTAAAACTGCTAAAATCAAGCTGGCTGACTTGTACTGGACTTGCACTGGAGCAGATGAGGAGGGCTCATGTTGTCTTCCCACTTGGAAGAAATGCTTTCTCAGGAGAGGTAATTTCAGTAACACTCGTCAAAGTATTTTTCTTGAGTTAGTTTAGTTTAGCTTGGAAGGGAACAGCCACACTATGTAATGGAGGGTAATTGCAGTTACCCTTTTGCGGCTGGATAGTCTGAGTTAGGTGCTTAAATTAGACCCTGCATACTCTCCTTTGAGTCCTAAACAGAGATTCATTCAAAAAGTTTATTTCTAGATACACAATTTGAGGGTAATTGCAGTGATCGTACTGCTGCTCCTAGTACCAATACTGCTCTACTAGTACCACTGATTGTATGTGTGTCATAGTCCATTGCAACAGTAAAGTAAAATATTTTTAAGAGTAAGGTGTACTGATAGAATAATAAGCAGAATGTATTTGCCTTTGCTGCTTTTTTGTCAACTCAGTCTGTCTTTATCATTTCTAATCTGACCTTCGTACCCAGCACCAAATCCTTGTAAAAAGGAACACCATCCAGGCTGCAGGCTTGCAGCTCTTTGAAGAATGTGCAGGTGTTTCACCCGGTACTGAAGTCTTTTTTGAGTCTTGTACCTTGCAGAGGTTGTTTAGGTGTTATCTCTTTTCTAGTATTGTATAATGAAAGACTTGGATAAAGTGCCTCTATACAAACAGTGCAGTTAAAACCACAAGGAATACCTCTCCTTTCATTGCTCAGTGTAATTTCAAGTATTAAAGTGCCTCAGTTTAGACCTTTGGTGGTATTTACTACTACTATTGGAGTAGCAGCAATGATATTTAACTTGACTATGTTGCACTAATTAAAAACAGTATTATTTTTTTTTAGTGACTAATAAAAGATAGTAATTTTTTTTAGTGACTTAATGAAAGCCTTACACCTGTTCCAGTTGTCAAAAGTGGAAATGAGATGACTTTTCTGCCACAATCTTGTTTATCTGCTAGCTGTAGAGAAAGGGACACTCCATTTTTCCATCACTGTTCATTTTACAATTTGCTGCTCTCACATTTGTGGATGGGATTATAGCACTGTAAAACAGAGGCTCTGTCTATAACGTAGAGTAAAAGTTAGTGGTGATGGAGATACAATCCTGACAGTAAAAGACTAACTCTGTCTGGGAGAAAGGAATGCTGCCTAATGAATCTAATTTCACTGCAATCAAAAATTCATAAATGTGGATGTTTGAAAACTGTATTTTCTTTCCATATTTATGTAATCCTTCCATTTGACAGGTCTGCTCAGTACTGGGGGAGATGTTGGCTGCTTTGCTGCGTGCATGCACTTTCAAAGCCCTCTCCTTTCCTATCTGTTTCCCAGCTGTTCCGACTGGAGGGCATCTCTAGGCAAAGGGTGAGAAAGTGCTTACTGACATCAGGGCTTAAGTTTTCCTTTGATATGTTGCCTGGAGGCCGGTGGGGAGGGAAAGCTGAGGGTCAGATTGGTTTACATTCTGGCTTCCAGTGGTGTTTTTAGAAGCTGGTTAGGGAGGTGAGGAGACATAACATCAAATATCTGAAAGTGACTTAATAAGGTTCTTGGCAACAGGGTTTGGAAGATGGGGGAAACAAGACTGCTGTAGTGATGGATCAGGAAGTGATCTCGGTAAAGCAGTGAGGTGCTTGCAGATAAGGCAAGTCTGGCATTTTGTATATGAGTGTAATCTAGCTTAGAGTGAAGCAGAAACATAAGGCTCCCATAGCCTGATGATAAGAAATCTTCATCTGCGCTTAAAAAGATAAAAAGTGGAGTTGGTTTGGTAGAAAGGTGGTGGTTAAATGTGTTTGTATAAAGCTCTTGGTGCCTTCAGTTAAGATCCTCATGGGCTTAGTGTAGTGAGCCCTGTACAAACATGGGAATTCCCAGTTGCTTCTGTAAAGAACTTGAAAAATAAAGACAGGTATTGTACAAAAGGTGGTAGTGAGGGGAATAAAACAATAAATACTAAATGAAATTAAAATCTTGTAAATAGCTGAATACTGAATGTTACCAAAAAGGTCAATACTAAGGTTCCTGGATAACTTTTCCGTTGCTGTCTTGTGCATATACACTGTAACAGTTATTCTCTGTGTAACTACCTGGCATTCATGGCGTGTTGCTGCCATATTCTAACAGAAATGTGTGAAAAATATTTGGTTACCTGAAGTCTTGCTAAATGGCTTCAGTTTTGTCTGGAGACAAAGTTCGAGCCACTGATGTCTGCTAGGCTAATGTAGCTCCCCTGACAAAGGACTGTTTTTTTAGGAAAGTGTACCCATGCCCTAGGGGGCTGAAAATAAGTAGTAAGGTTGGCAGGCAATTCTTCAGAAAATTTCTGTGCTGCCTTTTACTGTCTATCAAAATTGGTCCTTGAACTTGGTGAGATAAGAGAGGAAGTGGAAGAGCTCTCTGCTCTGAACTCTTTAGCCTCTCGTGAGTTTTGTTCTCTGAATGGCTGATTGCATTTTATGTCTTGTCTTGCTAGATGGGCTGGTGATCCCATTGGTGGAACTGTCTGCAAAACAGGTTGCATTTCACATTCCATTTGAGGTGGTGGAGAAAGTTTATCCTCCAGTGCCTGAGCAACTGCAGCTTCGAATCGCCTTCTGGAGTTTCCCAGAAAATGAGGAAGATATCAGGTAATTAATACTATTTCTGTTTCATTGATGCTTAAGGAAAAGTTCTGTTCACTAGTGGAGAATTGTTGTCCGTTTGATGTCCTGTATGTTTGCTGCTTCTGCTGTTCTCATGTGCATTTTGTGATATGTGGATGGATTACTGTGGGATATACTACGATACGGGGTTTTATTTTGGGGTGAGCTGTGCTGCATATGTCCCAGGCAAAGCATGTACACGTGGAGGTTTTGTGTGTAAATGATAGCAAAATAAATGCATCCTTTAATTTCCCTGACAGTAACTAGTTTGTAGAGTTTTGTCCTTATGTTAGTCTTATGCAGTATTCTTTCCAGTTTGAATCTGTTGCTTGAGTCAGAGCTTTAACTGGGCTCAGAAATTGCTAGGGAGGTCTAGTTCAGTATGCTGTGCAAGCCTTTTGTTGGTGTTAAGTAGGGGAATCAGAATTTGCTGAGTACATCAGTGATTAGAGCGGATACAGTCAGAGAGATGACTATATTGCTTATGTTTCTACATAAATTGTGTAAGTATGTAGTCAAAACCTGTGCTTTTAGATCTTTTACCAAAGTATTTTTGCTGAAGCTTTTATACTATAGGAGGCCTACCCATGTAACCATGCATTCAGAATTTTGTTGCAAAGTAGTGATATTACACTCTTTTAGATAGAATCATCCTGAAAGTTGTTAGATGCTTTTGTCTAATGTTCTGGTATCAGATGGGGGAGGTAATGTCAGAAGTGCTGATGTAATTCATAAGATCACCTGTGGGGGAATAGAGCAAGCCAGTTGGTTGTTGTACATGTTCATTATTCTGATGAGCACAGATGTAAAAAAACCTCATGTGAGCATGCATGTAACTCATCTAAAAGTGCAAAGAGTTTTTACTGTGGCATGCTAACATTGAAGCTTAATTTTAGGCTATGAATGAATTTGTATTTCAGAGCCTTAGGTTGAAATTCCTAGAAATGCCAGTGGCTATACACAAACCCAGTTAGGAAGAGACTAACGATTTTTGTAATGGTTGAATTGTAATGGAAAAGTGGCAGAAAAGAGCTGGACTTCATCTTAAAGATGAAGATAGTAAGGATTTTTAAAAAGCCATGTGAACAAAGAATGCAAGAGAATAATACTGTGAAGTTTCTCAAAACCAGACTGATCTTGACATGTTATGGGCATCTCTTGCAGATTGTACTCATGTTTGGCGAATGGCAGTGCAGATGAGTTCCAGCGAGGGGAGCAGCTGTTCCGGGTGAGGGCTGTCAAAGACCCTCTCCAGATAGGTAAGAACATTGCAGCTGCGCATCTCTAGATATTTCAGATTCCCCAAACCATATCTGCAATGGGATAGCGGTGGTATGACCATGTCTCAAAATGAACTTTTCTGGCATCCTAGGCTAAACTCCCTGCCACATGTATTCTTTATAATGTCTTGAGGTAAATACTATGTTTATTTCAGCCTCAATCAGGTTAGCTGTGAAACTGAGTGAAAAGCCAGAAATTTTCTGAAAATTAGATCCTTAATCTGTCTCAAGTGTTTTGGAAAAAACTGTATAGAATGCCTTTGTCTCCATAATGCTTAAATTCCTTGTTGATAAAGAGAACTTGGTTTTCTAGTGGTCTGATCAAATGAATGCCTTGCCTAAAGTGTGTGTATGGCAGAGAGGAAGTTTGCAAGGTTTAATTATTCTTGTAGCAACAGAGTTGTATTAGTAATACAGTTAGTCATGTAACATTTTCGCAGAAGGAAATCCCTGTTGCTGGACAGTGGGTTTTATTGCTTCTCCTCACTTATCTTGTTCTTTTTATATTTTATGGTTATAGAAGCTAACCTTGTCTTAAAGAATTGGACTCTGGCTTTTTCATTAAATCCTTTGAAGTAAAGAACAATGTTGAGCTGGCTTTTCCAGTGACAACTGTTAGACAGGGAGGCATTATGTGAAATAAAGACACTAGTATGTCAAGGCGGGCCATATCAATCCAATGCAGATGTGGTGTTTTTTCTGCAAGTCTAAACTTTAGAATTAGAATATTAATTGGCATGTGGGAACTGAGCCTGGTTGGAATAAGAAAAATGATAATAAAAAAAGGTGTATAATGTTAAGGAGGAAAGTTCCTGTGTTCTCCTGTGGTGAGGGATAGAGACTTCTATGGGCCTGTTTAGTTGCTAGTACCAGTAATACTTAACTCTCTGTGATCAATTGAATGAATAAATTTAGGTAAAGGACCCTCAAAAAGGGAATAAAAGGGACTTGTACTGTAAAAGTTTGGGGATAACAAAAAGAGGAGGAGATAGTAATTGAGATAGGCAAATTGCAAGAGACTAATGAACTGTTATTTGAATATAGGGTAAAGCATCTGAAAGAATTTTACCTTGTCCATTGTCTACTGTAATAACAGTAGCAGGAATTCTTGGGAATGGAAGTGAAATACTTCCTCATATATAAGGTATATTGAGTTTTCAGTGAGACCAGATAGTAGTTTTGGAACATGAACGAAATTGAGCTAAATAGGATTAAACTGACTTTTGAGTGCATTCATAAGCTCCTGATGTCAGGACTGAAATGCTGTGAGAGGCCTCTAAGGCATCTGCTGAACTTCAGGAAGGCAAATATTTAAGAGAGACAAAATGAGTTAAAATGAAACTGGCTGAAATTCAGTAATTCCTGGGACTTTTACAATGGAAAAGAGCAGAATATTTAATATACAGTGCTAAGACTGTGGTCGAAACTTGTTTCAGTAATAAATTAAAAAGGTGAGGAGGTGTAAAGCAATGTAAATGAACAAAGGCTAGGAATATTAGTGCAAAAACTGTGTTTGGGGGAGGAGGAGAGGAGTAGGGAAAAAGAGGAGGCGGTGAATGATACAGGGGAGGGACTTCTAAGTACACATACAGCAACTGGGCTTCTTGGCAAAGGATTATGTGTGTGCAAGGGAAAGAAGTAACTTTGTTTAAACAGTGATGTTGTTTCCTCCTTAGTAAAGAAACTTCATCTAATGGAGAGATTTTTTTTTTTTTTTTTTTCCATGAGTAGCAGCCCAGAAGCTGGGCAGTACAGGTGGGATGGATATAATTTCAGTCATTTACTCCAAACGACTTTAAGGTGTGTGGTTGCATATACTGACAAAGGGGAAAGAAACACAGAGAATGAAGTGGCCCTTGAGAGGGGATTTGATTTGGGGGGGGGGATTGGGCAGTGCATTGTGATATTGTGATCAATAGGGCAAAGCTTGAAATGTGCTTTGTGCTCTTTTTGTCCCATTTCCCTTTGCAGTATAATTTTTTTTTAAACATCAATGAGTAATCTTAGTCATCTTGTCCACATGCAAATCCATATCCATAATTTCTGAACAATAGCACCTCTTCACCACATTCCAAAACCCCACTTTTTTACAGTGTTCGACTGTGTATACACAAAGAATTGGCTTTTGTAAACCTTCTCCTGCACATTTCCTTAGTAGCAGTCATATACCCACCTCCTTGTGCTGAAGACGTTATTGCTGTTCTCAGATAGGTGTGTTGTAGTTGCTGATCTCAGGGACTTCTTTTCTATCATAGTCTTAATTTCTTTTTAACAAATGAGGAAGGCAGCAGCAGGTTCAGTCTGGATTCTAACTTTGCATCTTCTTGAATAGTGTCTCTAAGTCTCCACTTTTTAGAGATTCTCCTGTCTTGGTTTAAAAGAAACAAATGTCCAAAATGGCCTTGCTTTTACTTCCTGTCTAAAAGCTTTTGTTCAGCTCTTGTTTTCCCATTTCTATTAGTCCTGGGAAAGCCAGATAAAAAGTTCTTAAATTCTGTGCGGAGGTGTGCTTGCTGTCATTGTTACAGGGGCATCAGAACTACCAAATATCAATGAAGAAAGCTTGGAACCTGTATTGCAAGAATTATTCTTAGCAGGGTGTTGTTAACTCATAGGTCACTTAAATCTTTTCATTCCAGTTGCTTACTGAGTAGCTTGGGGTATTTCAAATTTGTGCATTTCCACCTGAAATCACAAGGACTAGGAGGACCTCAGAGAAATCAATAAACAGACCTGAAATTTCACAATAAATGAGTTTCATGATAAAATAAATACTAAATGCAAACGACATTGATGTAGCTATCCTAAAATTCTAAAAACTGGATTTGAACCAGTGGGAACCATACATTTCTTTTGGATACTTCTCCTGCAAGATTAAGTTTCTGGGGTAAAGCAGTGAGAAGGATAGGTTATGGACTGAAAAAGAAGCCATCTCTATTCTGTACGACCTAGTCTAGGCAGCAGTTGATTATTTCTAGCTTTTACATTTGATGAAACCATGTGCCTTAACTGAGTGTCAGAGAGGACAGTGTGCTGCTACCCCTTCTTCACTGGGTGATAAAACCTGCTTCATGGGTGCAGTAGATCACTCCTGGTGCTCTTTGCGCATGTCGAGTATGTTGTACAGTGCATGTACCTGATACATCCTCTGAAGCATTGATGCTGGCTGCTTGACATATTTGTTCTGTGCACGAGTAGTAAATCTGGTGCTCATAAGTATAAGATGCACTTTCTGTTTAGAAAGCCAAAGTGCTTTCACAGAAGCACTAAGCTTGCTCTGTGCCCACAGTGCATTTAAGAAAAACGGTAGCCAGGGGGGTGAGATTCCTGACAGAGCAATTCCTCTGGCCTGCAGCTCATTCTTGAGGTCTGCTGGGAGTGGAGCTTGCCAAGAATAGGGTATAGATACTAGTTTTTTCTAGTGGGCTACATGCAGTTGCAGAATGAATGCTCCTGGTACATGCAGACATGTTTTTGTAATGTAATGTATTGTTATGCATGGAGTAGATAAACCGTTACTGGGTAGTGGGAGCAGGGGATGGGTGGGAGGGAAGAACATATTTGTGGTCTCCATGAGGTGGCCGGGTCACTCAGGTGTGCAGTAGATGTGATTCTTGTCTTCACTTTTAAGCAGTAGGGTAAGAGCTGTGGTCTGCAGAAGACAAAAGTTGCACTTTTTTTTTTTTTTTGACTGTAAACAAGTACATTTCTTTAAACAGTAGTGTTGGGCTAAAGCACTCCAGAATAGTCCCCCTCATAGTCACCTTTTCAGTTCCTGAAGGCTCAGACTTTTGTAAGCTGTGCAGTGAACTGAATTGTGGTATTTTTCCTGGTAAAAGTAACCATAAATTTTTTGCTGGTATGGTGTCCTGTGCCATCCCAAAAACAGTTGTTCAGCACAGCAAGACTGGTGGTGCAAAAGAATTGGGCAGAGCTGCTTGAATTAGTGGTGTCAGTGGCAGACATGTTCATCAAGATACAGTTTGACTTGAAGCTGATGATATGTCATGCTGAAGCCCTTAAATTTTCCTTGTCTCTTTTTATAACTGTTCTTCCCTCTTTGCATTTAATCAGTCAGCTGTCTTCCATATACAAATAAAAATTTCACGGTAGGAGCTTGATAAGAGTGTATAGCTGTGACCCATTCTTCTCTACCACCTTTCGAATACTTCTTTTTCTCAGTGAAACAGAATTGCTGCAATTCCGATTTGTGAAATGCTTAATTTGCTTTTGTGAAAATTAGGGCATTTTGGCATTAGTCTGAGATGCTTCTAGTATAACAGAAGGACTAGCTGAACTGTTTGGGTTGTATTATCCAAGTGTGCAACGTAAATTAGAACTGTAGCTAGTAATAAGCAGTGCAGTAATTTTGCGTGAATGCCTTGTTTTGTTTTGATTCTGTTCCAATTGCTGAAATGGCTGAAGAATTTGGGTGGCATTATGCGTACTAATCAAAATAATCACCCACATCAGGAAGAGGATTTTGAATTCTGGTGAACACAAGAAATAGAAAGGTTAAGCAAGGTAAGAGCAAGTTTGTATGGGCACAGAGATTATATTTTGAGAAAGAAATAGTGCACATTGTTTTAAATGGGATTTAGTAGGTCACGTGTACTCCTGAACACCATCATTATTATAATCTCACAATATCATAATAAAAACTTAGTAGCGTGGATTTATAATGTACTTCCCTGTGCTGATGATGGAGAAACTATTTTAATCACCTGTCCCAAGCCATATTTTTTCACTTGAGGTAGATTGTTGGACTGAATTTTGGTTATAGCTTTGATACCCTTGGTGCTTTCTATGCTTCATTAAAAAAGAATTTGAGACTAGCAGAAAGGTTCTGAGGCTTATACTCATTGCTGTAGAGATTGATTAACTGGAGATAGGGACCTTCAAGACAAGTAGAAGATTCATGTTCCTGATGGCCTTTTCCTGCTTGTAATATGTATGCCTCTGGATAACCATTATCTGTAGAGGAAGCTGCATTATGAGTGCAACTGGTATGCATTGTACATGAGTTTACATGAAGCCAAGCCTCATTAAAGTTCTTTGTCATCCTGCCTAAGATGAGATTTATAATTTATTTGTTTGATCACAGATTAATGGGGCTGGATTTGCTCAAGTGTTATTGTTGGAGTTTCCCATTTCCACTGATTTTAGTCTGAGCAAGAGGGGGTTTTTGTTTTCTGAGTACATGGTTTATAAAAATGGGATATTCACGAAATTGCAAGGAGATAGATAATTTATGAGAAATGGGTAGCTTCTGAAGCCACAAAGTGAAAGTGCTGCCTTCTTTAGTTCACTGTAAAATTATGAAAGTTGACTGACTTGGAAATAATTCTGAAGAAGTCACCTGTCTGTTCTGCACCATTGCTAGAGTTAATTAACATAGAAACCATGCCTAAAATATGCGTAGTCTAGCTTTGACCCTGTGATCCGATAAACCACACTTTTCAGTGATGGCTTTTTCCAGTTCTGCTTTTGTTTGTTAAATATTAATAGAAGTAAGTATATAAATAAATTAATGTATTAAAAGCTGATATTTTTGAACCTTTTATAACATGTTATGCCTCTCTGCTAATATTCTGCCATAGCTGATTAGGAAGAAACCAGTGCTGGAGACTCTAAATTCATGTCCATCCCCATACGGATGTTGTTGCTAGAGATGTTGTTTCACTGTTTAAATGGCACATACCTACATTTCTGTGCTAGCTGAATCTGTCTCCCAAGCACCAGAAGAGTAACTTTGGACTTTGAATTTTAACAGGTTTCCATCTAAGTGCCACTGTGGTACCCCCACAGATGGTGCCACCCAAAGGTGCGTACAACGTGGCGGTGATGTTTGACCGATGCAGGATCACATCATGTAGCTGTACCTGTGGAGCTGGGGCCAAGTGGTGTGCTCACGTCGTGGCGCTCTGCCTCTTCCGGATACACAATGTAGGCCTTTAAATACAGTTCTGCTCTTCCCTAGGCATCTTTTCTGAGTCTCTCCCCGTTACAGTTTCATGCAACACACACTCTCTTTAGGGAAATTTTTCTTGGCACTCCTTTTGGTTACAGACTCTGCAAATGTGTGCTCACAGTTGCAGTCTGCAGAGTGAATTGTCTGAGGCTCTAAACTGCAGAATGTCCTTTGATAATGTGCAAATTGCTACGAGTAGATACAGAGTCCTTTTTGGCCCCTTCCTGTTTCTCATTTAAATGCTAGAATTGCTCATTTGTCCTTCAGTTCTGCAAGGAGTGAAAGGTCACCAATAGCTAGTCTTTTATTAAAGGTCTTTGTAAATATGGGATTTGAAAGCTCTTCTTTAGGTTGTTTGATGAGAGTGCAGAAGGAAAGTAATTTTGATCACTGTTGGCCTTTATGTTCAACACATACTGAGGCAGGTAACTGTCATTTTGACTTGTAGACTTCAACCAGTCATTTAAGTTTATGTTTTTATTTGACTGCTTGTATTCTGTGAGGCCTTATATAGAGTGAAAAGTAGGTGTTTCTTATCCCAATGAACTCCAGGTGAAAATGCATAGAATCAACATGAAATACACAAGTTGAGGGTTCAGTCTTGCATACAGATTAATTTCCTCAGTCTTTGGGAAGCTGAGAAATACATCTTAAGGAAGGATTAAGCTTGGATGATGGAAAGGAACAGAAGATTTTCTGCTGTCACAGAACATTTTATAGCTACACGCTTATGATCAACTCCAGATTCTTAAATAAGTGCTAATAACCTGCTGAAGCTTGTTAATATTTCACAATGGAAAATAGTGATAGGCTTAAATTGATACTCTTGTGAAATCATTGTAATACTGTCTGTACTTAAGACTGCAGAGTTGGCAAAAAAATGGGTTCAGCTTTGAATTATTAGTTCCAGTTTTAAAAGGTGAGTATGGAGAGTGAGGATAGGAAAAAAATTTTCATTTCTATTATTTACACTCAAAGTTTGAACCTTGTGTAAGATAAAAATCATTATTTTCCCTCTAATCCTTTCTTCTACCCAAAAAATGATAGTGAAAGGATTTTCATGTTTGTATGTACCGACTGCTGACACTAGCAAGTTGCAAGCCAAGGTATATTGCTCTATGTAGACAGATCAATATCAGAAACATCTTTACTATCAAACTGCTCTTGCCTGTTTTCAGGTTAAATTTTAGGTAGGTCCCATTTGGGCATTTTTTTGTTCTGTAGAGTGAAAAAGGTTAAGAAACTAGTGGTGTGGTTTTTTATCATCTAAGTTGTTCTAAGATATGGAAAGAGACTGATTTTAAGATTTTTCTTCAATCTTCTAATGAGATAAATGAGGTGGTTGTGATTCTGTGAAACAGCACCCACCCACCCCACCCCTCCCGAACTGGTTGGTTTGCCAGAAGCTTAAAGAATAATGTCCTATTTTAGAGGTTTGTTTGTGAAATCCCTGCCAGTATTTGTGCAACTGCTAGCAACAACAGACCTTAAGCACAGCTGTTAAAGCAGTTTCCTTGAAAAGAAACTCTTAAAACCAGTTTTTTATAAAGCATAGACAACTTATTTGCATCTTGTCTGCAACACACCATGTAATTACAGAAGAAAAATTGTCCATCAAGACCAAGCATGATAAGCATCAGCATAGCTACTGTTCATGACACTTCATTCATTCAGTGGACACAGCTTCATTAAGTCTGACCTGTTAATGGCAGTTCATATCTCCTTTTCTTTCTTCAGGCATCTGCGGTATGCTTACGAGCACCTGTTTCTGAGTCCTTGTCTCGGCTACAAAGAGACCAATTGCAAAAATTTGCTCAGTACCTAATCAGTGAACTTCCACAACAGGTAAATGGGGACAATTGATAGGGACTGACTTTTTGTTAAATTCAGTTATCTTTATTTTGGGTCAATTTATATGATGTCTTATGTTGCAAGATAACCACTTATGCTATTCAGTTGTGAGTTGCTGGGAAGGCTTTCAGTTCTTGCACTTTTCAGGTTTGCCATTCTATTATTTGACAATTGTCTATTGCCAAGTAAAAGATTAGAAGTGTCTTAAAAGGAGAAAGGAGAGTGGTGGCTATTCATATTAGTGTGACTATGCGCTTAGCTTGTGGAAGATCAAACACAATAAAATAAATGCATGGTGGTGAAAAACTTGGGTCAGAACAAATCAGGTTGCTTGTTTCTTGTGTGTGTGGTTAGTTAAGTGGAGAAGACTACCCAGGGGATGTGTTGTCTATGCCTTAGGTGGGCACTTTCTAATGCACCCAACTGGTGACCTTTTGACTGTCCCCAGTATAGCTTCTTGGTGATTCATAAGAACCATTTGGGTTATGGAAAGTAGTAGACATGACATTTAATTAGTCAAAGGCAAAATCTGCTCTCTTACCCCTTAAATATCTACGTTGTTCAAGGCCAGGTCATTTATATCATGTGCCTAAAATGCTTGCAGAAAATACCTAAGTGATTGTGAAATGTTTGCTTTAAAAAAATAAGGGCTTAGCAATTTTTTTATGCTGGTTCAACCAAAGGAGTTGAGAAAAACTGACCTGCATGGATATCTGTCACATTTCAGTAGTGTGTGCATAATGTATTAAGTAGGAGTTAGATTACTGTCAGCATGTGCCTAAAATTCGTATTATGGTGCTGTGCATGGGACACTAAGGTATTCTACTGCTAAAACATCCTCTAAATTTCCTACAGAATTACTAATCTTTTTATGAGCGGAAATCAAGGAATCGTATAATATGGAAGTGATATAAATATACTGGGGTTTTTGTTGCAGACAGTTCAGCACCAATAGTGTGTGCTTCTTGCTGCATTATGTAACAGACAAAGCTTTTCTTCTCTCCTTAAGGACTTTGAGCTTTATGTCACATAGTCTGGTGCTTAATAATAGGAGGGTTTTGAAAGGCTAGCAGTGGTGGTAGTTTTTTCCTGAATGGCATGCGAGTTGCTTGCTTTCAAATATTCTGTGCCTGCTCCTTTTTGCAGGGTTTATTTCTCCTTTGGTAATGTGTACCAGCTGTGTAGCCAGGAACGTCTAGATTATTTAATTTAAATATTACTATCTTGCAAGATAATCTGATGGATGCTGCCCAACAGAAAAGTTTGGGGTTTATTGGCAGATGCATCTTAACCTGTGTTGTGTAATTCCCTTGAAAAAAGAAAGGCATGCCCCAAAACTCTTCCAACAGTCTCATTCCCGGTCTTCAAGGTTTCTGAGTGGATATAGATACTCTGATACCTTGGGACCCCATATTTTGACTACATGATGTAGAATTAGAGTAGGCTGTATACATGATTTTATTTTATAATTATTTCCAGCTTGTGAATGACATTATGGTACAGCAATATATAATGCTTAATTACTTTCAAGTGTAAAGGGATGGTGGTCTGTAGAAACGCAGCTAGATAAGGAGATGTTTTGCAAAATCTCTGTAGAAAGTGTTTTCCATATCTATGAAAATGTCAGTGATTCTGAGCAGCTGGAATTTATTACCCAGTTCTTCTCCCAAGAGCTTTTTCCCTTCATGAAGGCAGTACTCCTATTCCAATTAAATATGAATATCTTGGCAAAAATGCCTGAAGGAGAGTCACTGCAGGTCCCTGATACTTCAACCTTAAGGTGTGACATTGCCTAGACCTGTGACTTTTCTGCTTTGTGGTGACGTAAAATATGTAGTGGAAGAAGGTACAAGAATAGCTTAATGCTGAGTTTGTTTCTTCAGGTGACTGAAAAGCAAAATATCCTTCTGAAGCATTGTTTTTCTTCCATCTGTTTGAGATGGACCCGTGTTATTTGTAAATATAGATGTACTGAATGTACCTTGCTTTACAGTAAGTGTGATCTTTAACCTCAGCTGTTGTGTGGAGAGAGGTGGGGGGATATCAGACATTCTGTTGCAAGTCATTTAGATCCTAACTATATGCCTAACCTGTTGTAAGTGTGCATGCTAAAGGCTAAATGGATCTGTGGTTTCAACCCAGACTTAGTTTGGGAAAAAATGCTTTCTACTGTGCATTTTTCTTTCAAAAAGAGGACATTAAGGGTATATCTACTTAGGATTTTGCAATCAGGTGTGAGCCTTCTCTGCTTATGCTCTGAACTGTCCAGAAGCTATGATTACTTTAGTGCTGACATTGCCTTAGCTTACTGTTGTGTCTGAGTTAATATATAGATTGTCCCTTTGCTAACAGGATGGTAAATAAGCTAAAGTCTGCCCAAAAAGTTATGTATAGATGTAATTTATAGTTTGCTCCTCTGTTCCCATTAGCTTGGGTTTTAGAGAAATGATTTGGGAACAAGAAATAAAGAACATTCAAAGTGCAGAAAAATGGTGACCTTGACTACAGTCGCTTCCATATCTCTCAAAATTAGCTGCAGTATCACTCTCTGTGGGCTGCTGCTACTCAAGAAATTAGAAGGGAATTAATAACCTATGGTGTTTTTGTTTACTTCTTAAGGTGTGAATGTAGGAAGTAAGTCTTGCATATGACTTTGCTTTGAGAAAGGAGAGGAGAAAGTGTAACAGCTGGTTTGTTATTGCATAATCTTTAGCACCCTCTATCGTCCTTTCCCAAAACATGATGGTGTGTATTCGATACTTCTGAAATTATGAGAGTGCTTCAGTCATGAAAATCCAGGCAAATCTTTGGCTGGGTATATCAGGATAAGAAATACTGTGTATATTGAAAGTTTGCATCATGTTTTCAGATTCTTCCAACAGCTCAGCGCTTGCTGGATGAGCTGTTATCTTCTCAGTCTACTGCCATCAACACAGTGTGTGGAGCCCCAGGTAACCTTGATATATTTTATTTCAGTAATCTGTGCCACACCTAGGAAGTGGATATATTTCCATTGCTTTGAGTTTCTAAACTGGTCTGTTATCACGTAGCTGGGATTGCAGGTGGAGGTCAAGGGAAAGGGTTAAGTGCTTCTTAGAGGCACTTGCACATATATATGGCACAGAAACAGGCAATTGTTGATGTAATGGATGACTCAGAGTATATGCAGAGGAAGGGAATGTCAAACAATGCACCTTTCTAACAAAAGATTTATCTTTTTAAGTCAGTATTTATGATAGACTCCTGGAAATTTTGATTGGAGGGGACCTCTCCAAACTCCTACTTGAAACAGGACTGTTTGCAACACTAGATTGGGTTAGCTGTGGCTTGGGCTAGCTTAGCCAAGTCTTGGTTGCCAGAGAGTATTTCTGTTTTAGTGCTGCCTTACCCTTTTGGTCAAGAATTTTTTCCTGATGTCCCGTATGAATACCCGTTTTTATAGTTTTCTAGTGCCAAGAAGGATTCGTTTGCATTGTGTTTGTGATTCCAAGCAGTTGTAGGCTGTTAATGATCACCCCTCACCCTCTCCTTTTTAGATTAAATTAGCCCATCTTCCTGAATCTCACCTCATAGATCATGTGCTCCGTGCTCCCAACTATCCTGATACCCCTCCACGATATCCTCTCTGGTTTCTCAGTATCGTTCCTGGACTGGAGGACCCAAAATTGGATACAATATTCCAGGTGTAACTTTACCAGTGCCAGGTAGAGAGGGATAAAATAAGTTCCTTAAATCTGCTAGCTGTGCTTTTCTTAATATATTCTAGTTTGCAGGTTGGGTTTTTTTTTTGTTTTGTGTTTTCAGTGAAAGTTTGCCATTGGTTTGTGTTCAGCTTGGCATCCACCATAATCACCAAGCCCTATCCGCTACATAGCCATTTGGTTTTTAATCTGTACTGATGCGAGGGGTTTTCTGTCCCAGGTACAGAAGTGTACATTTTTCCTCAGTGAACTTCATGAAGTTTCTGTTAGCACAGTCCTTTAATTTCTTCTGGTGCCACTGGTTGTAGTGCTACCATTCAACATGACAGCCATGTCTCCCAATTTAGTGTTGTCAGTGGTTAAGGTAATGTTATGATAGCATTTTAAGATAGTTCTGAATAGTGAGTTCTGCAATGGGTGAAATAAACTGTAACACTGCCTGTGTACTCCCTATAATCTCTGTGGTTGGGCACACAGAGGAAAATATCTTCAAAGCCTGCAGACTGTATATGTGTTATTCTTTTGTCAAGATCCCACTGCTGGACCCTCTGCATCAGATCAAAGCACCTGGTACTTAGATGAATCTACTCTGAGTGACAACATAAAGAAAACCCTTCATAAATTCTGTGGACCCTCTCCTGTTGTTTTCAGGTAAACTGTTTCCTGTTGAAGGGAAAATGTGATATTCCTGCAATCTGTAAGCTCATTCACTGTATAGCCTGTATGCTTATGTGATGCCATCAACTGAAGGATGCTTAGTTTCATGGTCACTCTTCTGGACTGTATTTTTGCATAGCTTGTCCAATGTTATTTCAGTAGAGCATGCTGTATTTGCACAATACCTTGCTTGCGTAGCGTTCTCGGTCTTGTAATGCATCCTCTCTTGTAGGTTATGCATGTCTGTCCCATTTAAGGTGCAAATATACTTCTGGACATAGAATATACTCAGAATTTTGTATGGCTGTGCTTGATTTCATTTTTTCATATCCCTGCTCTTCTGTTTTATCTACAGTGATGTGAATTCAATGTATCTCTCTTCCACGGAGCCACCAGCTGCTGCTGAGTGGGCCTGTCTTCTGCGTCCCCTGCGAGGAAGAGAGCCTGAAGGAATCTGGAACCTGCTTTCCATTGTGCGGGAGATGTTTAAGAGACGGGATAGCAATGCAGCTCCTTTGCTGGAGATTCTGACTGACCAGTGTCTCAACTATGAGCAGGTATTCAAATCTGTTTGCTGTGGCGGGGAAAATTCTGGGGAACCAGGCTGAGCCAGTGACTGGTGCCACGTGCTTGTACAATCCATGGCTGAATAAATTTTTTTTTAACAGTCTTTATGCATTATAGGCATGTGCTTCTCCACACTAAGATGATGTTACAGTTTGCTCTTGTGCTGATTTAGTGATGTCCTGGTAACACTATATCCCAAAAATACCTCAGTCCTTTTAACGTGAATATATGGAGTCTGACCTCTTTTGTTCAGCACATTTGATTTGATTTCTGCCCAGTCAAGGTGATTTACTGTAATGGGTTTTTTTTTGATAAACAAAGTACATCACATATGAGCTGTCATTTTGATAAACACTAAAGATATATGTTGGGTGGCAGAATCTCAGTGTCTTTTGTTATTTTTGTAGAAGATATCTTTTGATGGGTTTAAGTAATAAATTTTTAATACTAAATTTTTAATAGTAATTAATTTTTATATTTATATATTAATATATAATATTTATATAATTTTATATTAAAATATATGTTTTTTAAAATAATATTAAGAAAAAGGTTTCATTTGAGAGTTCAAGACACTGATCTCGCTCTGTAATATAAATTGCAGTTTAAGTTTCCTTATTGCTCTATCACATACCTCAACTTTGAGCAGGGGAAAAGGATATGCTTAATTTATCACATTTCTTCACTTTTTCCCTCCAAGTGTGAAGGCCTTTAGTAAGAGAACCTCCTGTGAGTGTTTTGTTCTCTGGATATGTGCCTTCTAACCAGAAAAATTTTGAGAGGCCCTTAGTTCTCACAAACCAATACTGCTTTAATATTTGTAGTTATGTTGTAGTCAAATGAAAACATGGTACTAGCTACAGATCCTGTTTCCTTGCAGTTATGAGGTTAAGTGAGAGCAGGGGATGAGATGTTGGCCACAACACAGCTCCACTGAACATTTTCTTCTGCAGATAACTGGCTGGTGGTACAGTGTGCGAACATCTGCATCACACAGCAGTGCTAGCGGGCACACAGGACGCAGCAATGGCCAGTCAGAAGTAGCTGCTCATGCTTGTGCAAGTATGTGTGATGAGATGGTTGTTCTCTGGAGGCTGGCTGTCCTTGACCCAACTGTTAGTCCACAGAGGTGAGCACCAGAATTGGATCCAGTCTCTCTTTTATTTCTATGATATTCAAGCACACTCAAGAGTTTCTTCCTGTAGATTTCTTGTGTTTGTCTCATTACCTCATTACCTGTTCAACCATTAGTCCTTCTGGACTATGTGCTGTGTAAGGTTGAGGAGCACTATAATTACTTTAAACTTTACTTGTTATTGCTGCTCAGTTTTAGCAACATCATGTAGTGTGAATAATTTGTTTTCTGAGAGTTCTCTTTTACGTATGAGTGTAATTCTGCATTTTAGTGTCCCAGTGGAGAACATTTCTTTGAATTATAACACCGGCTACTGATAAATTTTAATACTTTCTAAATTTAACTATTCAGCAGTTTAATAGATTTCTGTTTGGTCCAATCATTCATTGTTGTCTGTTTCAAGATGAACCATTTCTTGCTTTCTGTGCTCTTAGGGAATTTATTCTCTGCAGTGTATTGGTAACCAGTGTCACTGGTGTATGATTTTCAGTCAGTGTTTTCAATTGTCTGAGTTAAAATTATGAGGCTTCTGCAGGTTTCTAAACCGTATTGTGCCTTGGTAAATCACTGCCATCTTTATTTAGCACTGGTTGAATAGCAGTGGAGGTACTGAGGGCTCGTGTTGAGATACCGTGGTTGACATTGTAATAATTTGTTTTGTACATCTAGTCTACAAAGTGTGGTGTGTAAAATGTACTGAATTAGTTTAATGTGCTATAAATGCTCAGAGAAAGTTTTTCAGAACAAATGAAAACAGGATGGTATTTTCAATACAATTACACATTAACAGGATTTGCTTTCTGTGAATTGTTGTGTAACATTAATAAAATGCCCTATCTATGTAAGGTACATCAGGGACACTAAAATGGATGCAGTTCCTGTCTTGTACAGTTTACAATATGAAGTAGCTAAATATAGGAGATGAAGACAAACCAAAAACCATAGGAAACTGGGAACAAGGCTTAAAATAAACACAAACATCAATCAGATCACATAGAAAAACCATAAAAGGTTTTGGCTTTGAATGAAGTATGAAGTTGTGCTATGTGTATTCACATTTGAGTTATTTGGCGCAGTTCAAATTTGCTCAGATCTCCTACTTGAGCTCATGCATAATTGAAGTGCTCCTGCTTGATTACCTATTCTCTTGGCATTTGAATAGTCATCAAGAAAAACCCTCTTCTACCTATCCTTGCTGTTCTTTCCAGTGAATCATAAGGAGACTTGCTACCTCCTTCCTAGTTCATTGCAGGCTCTCATCCTTATGTTACCTTTCCTGAGTACTTGCCCGTTCTTTTTCCTTCTGAAAAACCTCTCCTTGATTAAGCCCGACCAGTCTGCTCATTTGTTAATTCATTTCTTTAGTGGACAAATAGAAGCAGTCCATTTTGTTTAGACTCTTTTGTCCTAATACCCTTTGCACCTAAATTGGGTCACCCTGTTTTGATTTGATTTTTTTGTTCTTTTGCTTTTGATAGGAAATCTGAGAGGATTGAAGTGTTGGGCTTGTATCTCAAATCTCTGAAATCTGTGGCAGAAACAAGATGGCAGTTGATTGAGACACTTGGTGCAATTTCTAGAAATGTCTTTTTGCTGTTCTTGAATTAGGTCACCCAAACATGTAATCCATTTAGACTATCTTGCTCGTGCTCAGGCCCTGCATGAGATTTGGAGCTGGGAAATGCAGAAATGCTTTGTTCTTCCCATGGTAATATGGGGTGTGGGACTAACTGCTATGTAATTTAAGTCTATATAACCCTACCAGCTTGCTTCTTCCTCAGAGTTATTTGAACATCAATTATTTTTCTCTTGCTTTTTCTGTGCCTATGGCTTGCAGGAGTTTAGTCTCCCAAGGACAGTCTGCTAAAGCCTAAATTAAATTGTTGGGCTCTATATAGGCATATCAGGGTAAAGAGGTAGATTAGGTAGTCCTGTCTGGCATTGTGCTTCTCTGGGTAGGCTGTTTAGATTGTACTTTTGAATGTCTTGACTGGAGTTGTTCACAGGGCTGTTTCACAGCTGCTGCAAACTGTTTTATGAATGATTCCAAGAGCAGCTCCCCATGGCACTCACTGGTTTCAGACTGCTGAGGCTCACGTCGCTAATACCTTATTTGGGGCAGAGAAGCAAACAGGGCAGACAGTATTTCATTTTAAACCTTGCAGTTTGTATTGTGCTTTCATGTTGGTACTGTTCACGTTTTGTTTCAATATCATGGGCCTGTCTAAGGACTTGGTTGTTATTATACCTGTTTCCTTTTTTCAGCCTGTCTTCTTACTAATGCTGTCTATACTTAATTCAGCAGAAGATGTTTCTGACCAAAAGGAAGTGTTCTGTAGGTTAAGAGGTAGTTTGTCACAGGTGCATTTTGTTTCTGCTTTCTAACCTGTCCTCTTGCTGCTTCTTTTAGGCGCAGGGACCTTTGCTCACAGCTCAGACAGTGGCAGCTGAAAGTCATAGATAATGTTAAGAGGGGTCAGCACAAGAAATCACTGGAGAAGCTCTTCCAGGGTTTCAAGCCAGCTGTGGAAGCCTGTTACTTCAACTGGGAGGAAGCTTATCCCATTCCTGGGATCACATATAGCAGCACTGACAAAAAGAACTCATTCTGTTGGGTAAAGGCCATCCAGCAGAGGAGTTGCCGGTTGCAGTGTACAGAAACTGCCTGTGAGGCTGGTAGAACCCATGGACAGGAGCCCGGGGGACCATGTCTGCAACCTGGGGACAGGCTGCGTCCCTCTCCGCAAGAGCCAGCAGTTCGTCCAAAGGAACTTACTGGAAAGCGGAAAGTTGTCTCTGAAACGCCACAGAGGGTTCTGAGACGGCTTTCAGCAGAAGGTGATAAAGCCGTGTACAAGACTGCAGCGGGCAAAGCAAAGTTGCCAGTGAGCAAAGGCTTGACCAGTAAACATAGTGGGAAACGCCGCATGAGCAGTGAAGACAGCTCTCTGGAGCCAGACTTGGCAGAGATGAGCCTGGATGACAGCAGCTTGGCTCTGGGGGCAGAAGCCAGCAACACATTTAGTTTTACAGAAAGCCCACTGAGCAGGAGCTATAGGGACACCTTTGAGGAGGATGGTGGGGTGTACTTCTCTGAGGGACCTGAGCCCAGTGTCAGGAGCAGTTCCATGGCCAAGAAATCACCCAAGGATCCTGTGGGGGAAATGGGTAGTGGTGATGATGACCTCCCTTCTGCAGATGAGAACAGTGGTGGTGTGAGCCTGAAGCCAGAAGAAGTGGGAGAGAATGGTGCAGCAGGGGGTGGGGATGATGGAGAAGATGACGATGATTACCAGGTATACTATCTGAATCCACAAGAGGTAGCCAAGGAAGATGATGACAAAGCTGAAGGGGGAAATGAAGAGGAGCAGGATATATTTGCTGGTATAAAGCCTCTGGAGCAGGAGAACCGGATGGAGGTGAGCTGAATCTAGTTAAAAACACTGTTTTGCAGTTTTATGTATTGTATACATCATGGTCTTGCCAGCCTCCTAGCTGTCACACTTAACCTAGTATGTCAAATCAAGTGCTTAATGATAATGTCATCATAACCCATTGTATCATAAGCTATCTACTTAATCCAGTGGTATCACACATGTCTCTTTCCCACAAGCTTGACTCCCTATTTCTGTGCTAACTTCAGGTGTATCCCAGTTTTAGCTCATCTCATGTCACACTCCAGAATTTACAGATGTAGGCAACACAGTGTGTGCTTTTTTACCGAGTCTCACTCCTGTAAATGGCAAAATTGAGCTGAAATTAAAAACAAGTAAGTGCCCAGCAGGAAAATCTCAAATCCAACCATGTAAGCAGAAATTCTCTGGAAAGCCAGAGGCAATCTAAATAGACCGTGTCACGTTCCTGTAATAACCTCAAAATATGTTTAGAGCATGCACCTATATGAGCAAGCAGCTGAAATGGAGATGCATGGAAATAGTTAGTCAGTTTGGGCTTTAGTTTTATTTTTTTTTGAGTTGTTCTCTGATCTCTTATAGCACTTGGAGGGAGGATAGGACTTAATCATGGAAGAAAAGACTTTTTAGGGGAGTGCTTAAAGGGATGGTGGGGTCCAGGCAAGAAGGACTCTGACAACACCTGCTGCTGAAGTCAATTGTGAATTGTGTTTGCAGAGTCTTCGCAACAATTAGTTTGAGCAGGCTAGCTCTAGCCTGGGGGAGTGTGGTTTGAATATGACCATCTGTTCTTTCTTGCAGATCCTGTTTGCCTGTGCAGAGGCCCTGTATGCACATGGATACAGTAATGATGCATGCCGCTTAACTGTAGAGCTTGCCAGGGACCTACTGGCCAACCCTCCAGATCTCAAAGTGGAGCAACCACCAACTAAGGTAGAGAGAGAGCTTGCCTAGTTTTGGGGGTAGAGTAAGTTAGAAGGAATATGTGGGATGGATAGAACAGCATTCCCAGGCATTTCTCATTCACTGTGATTCAGGGCACTTCACTGATGCTCTGGGTTGAACTTCTCTGGATGTCATTAATGTGCCTGATCACTGCGTGTGTGGGTGAAAAAAAAGGAGAAAGAAAATAACAGGCCATTCAGCAGGACTTGGAGTCTTCAGAAACTCGAGTTTAATTAAAAGCTTCTTCACTTTTCCTTATGCTTCAGAGAGAAGCTTGGTTTGTCTGTTTAAAGCTGCAGCTCCTTTAGGAATCTATTTTAAATCAATTGGACAAAACACTGTATTTAACATCATCTTCAAAGGATGTTTTGTTTAAGAGATACCTGCTACTGTGTGCTATGAGAATATACAGCAGCTGTAAGAAGTCTTGATTTTTGTGCAGCTCTGTGCAGGTGACCCTGTTTCTTGTGATTCTCTCCAAAACCTTAGTCTCCTATTTCATAATGTGGACCACTGGAAATGTTAGAAGTTTTGCTGGTTCACAACAGAGGGTTGGAAAGGAAAGAAATAAGCATAAACTTCTGGAAAATCAGTTGTAGTGGCACTAAGCAGTGTTTGTTGTATGGAAGGGTTCCCTTGGAAGGGACAGGCATGCAACATCTGCCTGCACAGCATCAGTCCAGTAGTGGATATATGTCTTATCAACAGGCCAGCTCTTCCACTGTGTTGTGTTGGGGTGAGATAGGGGAAGTAATGATGTTCGTCAGTAACCACTGGGATTTGTGATTCCTCAGTAAAGGGAATAAAATTTAAATATGTTTTATTCTTTCTTCTGTCTACTGATTATTGCAAAGGTAGAAGGACAAGCATAGAATCATTTAGGATATGTAGGAAAGTCTCCTGTGACAAATTCCTCCTCAAACAGGGCAAAAAGAACAAGGTATCAACCAGCAAGCAGACATGGATGGCAACCAACACCTTGTCTAAAGCTGCTTTCTTGTTGACTGTGTTGAGTGAGCGGCTGGAGTACCACAACCTGGCCTTTCGAATAGGAATGTTTGCTCTGGAGCTGCAGAGACCACCTGCCTCTACAAAGGCTCTGGAGGTATGAAACATCTCAAAAAGGCAGTATCCATAAGCCCGTAAGCAACATTGTGCTGCTTGAATGCTTTTGCTCATGTGGTTTCCATTTCAGCTCCTCAAGTTTGGTTATGCTTTTATATGTTTCCTTTAAATTGATTGCAGTGGGACTAAATGGATTGTGTGCATGTCCTATTAGCACATGTTGATCTGCCAGAAAAATTATTAGAAATATCACTTCATCTGGCATTACCTTCATTGATAGGAAGCTCAGACCTCATGTGCCATCAGGCCTTTGATCTCACATGAAGCTGCAGGCTTGAAAATATTTAAATGAGTACAAAATCTTCTATGAATATATAGTTTTGATTAGAATAGCTTACTTCTTATCTTAAAATATGTTTCCAGTTTGCTTGGCTAATCTGGGGAAAATAAAACCATTTGTAAATGGAACTGTCCATATTCGCATTGGTGAAATGGTTTGAAACTTACTCTTCAGGGTGAATTGGTGCAATTGTTACGTCTGAAAATAGTTGCTCTTGCTGATCTCATTCATTGGCAAGCAAACGTGTGCACTGTGCAGGCATATTATTTTGGACGCTGCTTGATTACTATTTGGCTTCCTGCTTAGAAAAAAGAAGTGTCCAATTAAGACCTTGTCTGTGTGATTTGCAGCTGCCTTGCTTTTCACTGCAGGGTTGTACAGTCCCTGGAGGTGTGTATTGTTGCTAGGTATCCACCAACTACACTTGATACACTAATTATCTGTACTTCTTATGGTCTGTTCAGAAGATTGTGAGGTTGGCAGTTTACTTGCTACCTAAAAGAAAACAATCACTTTCACATGTTAAGAATGGAGAGAATGCAGGTATGGCAGAGTAGTGAAATGTAATGGTCTTCATCCTGGTGGCATGTGTGCTGCCACCCCATGCCCATTCTTCTCCTAGTAAGTCTCTGTTGTCTTGAATGGGTATATTACTTAACATAGCATCCTTTCTTCCTACAATTAAGAGTAATCACCTTTTCCACTGACTTATCCAGTCAAATGCTTCTCCTGATGTTCCTATGAAAGCTGATGCATTTTTTTCTGTATGCAGCTCAAGAGTGATAATTTGCGTTAAAAATGTGTGTATAAATATGAGGCAAGACTTGTATTAGATTTGAAAATCTGTATTTAGTGTGGAGAGAATGGTAAAAGTGGCTAGGGTGCTAAGAGTTGCTATAATTTAACAATCCAATAAAAACTATTGCTGTACTTCATGTATAGGGAAAAATGGTCCACGGCCCATAGGCCCTGTGCTGATGACAGCTTCTTCTGTTTCCTTGTGGATACTACCAGGTGAAGCTGGCATATCAGGAGTCTGAGATTGTAGCCCTCTTGAAGAAGATTCCCTTGGGCACTAATGAGATGAACACTATTCGAGGAAGAGCTGAAGAACTGCGAGAAGGGACCCTATGCGATTACCGTCCTGTCCTGCCTCTGATGTTGGCTAGCTTTATATTTGATGTCCTGTGCACTCCAGGTACTGTCTGCATTGGCTTGAGTGCATGAAGGGCATGTTCTGAGATGCCAGGTCTTGAGGGGTTTTCAAAGAGAAACTGTCTGCTGTATAAGAACAACCTAATCTTGATTCTTCACATGCTGTTGCTTCCACTTCCCTCCATATTGCTGTAGAGGTACTTTGTGCCCCAATGGAACTGCCTCTCCTTCTGCTTACATTTGAAAAAAACCTGGAAACTTACCACATTTCAGCAGTTTGTGTGTATTTGTAAAATAGTTATAAATGACTGACTTTTCTACTCTTATGCTGGTTATATTCAGAGGAAGCCAATATAAATCTAGTATTTTAAAAAAGAACACAACCTGGGATTAGTAGACTGACTTGGCAGTATACCTGCCTGGTTTAGAACCTTCTGAGTTTAGAGAGGAATGGAAAAAAAAACCCAAGATAGTGCTGTTGTCTTGAAACTGGTGCAGGGCTAGGAATAGGACCACAGGAAGCTCTGCAAATTTAGAAGGCTCTCAGAAATGGCTTTTGCCTTGAGGTCCTAGTTTTGAAAGCTGAGCAGTAATTCTATTGTCTTCTTTCAGTGGTTTCTCCTACAGGCTCTAGACCCCCAAGCCGTAATTGGAATAATGAAATGCCTGGAGACGAAGAGCTTGGTTTTGAGGCAGCTGTTGCTGCTCTTGGTAAGAATCTTTTACAAGAAAAGTCTTTCTTCATCTGTGTTCTGCATCCTGCCTCATTTTGGATGGTGAGAGTTAGTAGCTCGTTCCAGTTTGGTGCAGAAATGAAAGTGTTTGCATGGTTTGTCAGAACCAGCTGCAGAAGGATTCTACATGCCAGGGTTGAGGTGCCTTTGTGAAGCTGTGAAAAATGGAAGGGGGATGCGGGACAGGAACTGAATGTTAAAGTAGTAACATGAATTTTAGCTTTCTTCTTGCTCTTTTGTTGCAGGAGATGTATTGCCTGGACTTTAATGGAGGTGGATAATTTCAGAGAACAAAAGGCAATAATTTCAGAAGAGGTCTTTCAATGATAGCGAAAAACTAGCAGAAGTACTCTTGAGCATTATCATATAATTCAGGGTCTTAGCATAATACTGGATTCTTGCCTCGTTTATCAGCTTCAGCAACAAAGCAGTAATTATATATAGTATGTTGACAATATTGTATGCCTGTGTTAAAGCAGCATGCAAAAAGGAATAGAATGGATTAAACAAGACCTGTCCTCTGTTGCCTCATCTCTGAAAGGAGGAAGATGAGTTCTTTATGGTGTGGGAATGCTGGCTCGTAGCATCTGCAGAAACTGGAAGTTTGTTTCAAGATGAAGTTGTGGGCTTGCCTGGACTCTTTTCCAGTGGCATAGGTTAGGATCTGGTTGTTCTGACAGTTGTAGCAAGCTTAGTATTCTGGGGACAGACAGCAGCTCCTGTTTATTCGTGACCTATTTCTGAAGTTAACAGAGAAATAGGGGAAAAAAAAAATCTTTTGCCTGTGACAGTGAGGTGAATAAAATAGTCTGAGGTATAGATAGTGCTCAGGATGCGGTGTAGTCCCCTGGGCTCACTTATCTCTTCATCCCCTCTTTTCTGGCCTGCAGGCATGAAAACAACTGTCAGTGAAGCAGAACATCCTCTGTTGTGTGAAGGCACCCGAAGGGAGAAAGGGGATCTGGCACTAGCCCTGATGATTACTTACAAGGATGATCAGTCTAAGCTGAAGAAGGTGAGTTTCCCTTTAAAAGGAGAGAGGGAGGTGCAAACCATGTTTGGGTTTTGATGGATTTGATAGTTTTGCCAGTGAGCACAAGTTGCTGTGTCATGTACTGGTGATTTACAAGCTATGTTGTGGTATTTATATTCTTCCACTGATGTAAAATCTGATTGTGCAGTGTGCATTGCCCTGGAAGAGGCACCCTTTCCATAAGGTCTTAAGGTCCAGTCGGGAGAATGCATTCTCAGTGCTTTTAATACTTTTGCTTATTTGCTAAAACAAGTCCTTTGTTCCAGGGGTTTTCAGTGTGCACTGTGTGTGTGGTCTGGGGATTGAGTCTGTTTTGCTGCAGGGATGTTGGCTTGCAGAACAGTATATCTAGCAAAGCCTTTGTTTCTTAACCTCTCACCTCTTTTGATATACTAGTTCAGTCCACTTGTGCCTTAATTTCCCATGCAAGAGAGATAGTAAAACTCTGCCCTTCCACCCCAAAAGAGGAAAAAAAAAATCAAAAAATGCTGAAGCTTCAGGAAGGTTTCATTAATCTTTTATATTCAGAAAAGCTTCTACCCAGCAAGAATATTATTAGTGTCTTTCTGCCTCCTAAAGAAGTACTTTTGCTATACTCTTCTGCAGGGAATAACAGGGACAATGTGATATCAGTCATCTGCAAATAAATGCTCTGTCACACTCATGGTGTTCGTTTCATCTGGAGAATGAACAGTAGAAATGGACAAACCCATAAAACGTGGTCATGCATTGTTGCCTAATTATGTAATAAATAAGGACAATAAAGTGTTATTGTAGGCTGGTAGAAGGCAGTTTCTCTAGTGGCTTTACCAGTTTCTCAGTAATGGTCTGACGGGATTTTTTGAGTGGTGAGCACAGAATTTTGGTGACTTAAACAAGAACATCTAATGACTGGCAGAACTAAATATAAAGTCCTCCATTCTGTCCTTGATGTACCAGAAGTACTTCTTTATTGTGAGTTTTTGGTGCCTTTCAACTAAAGCCAGTGGCTGTTCGAAGTGAAAATGGGGATATTACTGCGTACAAATGAATCTTTACTTCCTCAGTGATACAGACCACGTGGCTCTCAACTGTGCATTGCTGATCTTCAGTGCAGGAAGACAATGCCTAGTTTATAGAGAATAAGCATTTTCTTTTTTTCTCCAACAAATGGAATTTATTGTGCACCAGGAAGCTGATTTGGTACTTTCCCTCTATGTCTTGGTGTAATGCCTGTTCTTTTACCCTTCTGCTAAGCTCTTCTTTTATTTTTTTTCTTTTTCCTTGCTGTTAAAGATTTTAGACAAACTCCTGGACAGAGAGAGTCAAACTCACAAACCACAGACTCTGAGTTCCTTCTACTCATCCAGCAAGCCTACGGTAGCAAACCAAAAATCTCCTTCCAAACATGCTGCCCAGTCCACTGCAGCTATCCAGCAGCTTCCAGGGACTTCTGTCACTCAGCAAGCTACTGTAAGCACTGCAGTCCAGAGCAGTCCTGAGAATTTTGTGGAGAAGAGTGCACAGGGTAAGAGGTGCTTTGTAAGGGCTGTGCTGAAACCCTTCTGTTATCAGTGCAAAACTGGAACTGTACATTTTTGTCTGTTTTGGGAAGTAGTCTGAGTGATTATATTACCATCTGGCTGCTTGGTGGTTACTTGAAAGTCATTCCCCCATGATCTCTTTGGCTGTATCCATTTCTGTAAACATTCTTGATGCATAGAAATTCAAGCTAATTTTCAGGTTTTCCTATCTTGAGCCAGTTGTATAACCAGTTAACATAAAACTACTGTGACTCTGTCTTTTAGGTTTGTATCACAGGGGTGCAGAATTTCAAAAAGTAACACACTGAGTCAGGTACCTTCATGCAAGATAAATAACTAAGGTTTCTGAAGAGCGTTAGAGGTAAACGTGGTTTTCTTCAAGCTGTGCCTCCACTTTGGTGGCAAACATCACATACAGCAGCATTTGGTGGAAAGCAAGTGCTCTCTTAACTCTTCCTAAAGAGATCATTACTAGCTGAGGATGACTGCAATACGATTAGGGTTGCTGGAGCATTTTTATTCTAAAATCTTTCTGTAGTCGCAGCAAATTTTCCAAATCTTGAGTTAAGGTCAAATGTTCTTGGCCTGGTATTGCATGATATGCTTAATACTGAAAGAAAACTGAGATAATCCTGCTCATAAATACCACTCATTTCATAAAAATCCTGCATCTTTTGATGTTTATATCTTTTAAATGGCCACATCTGGTTTTAGAGATACAGAAACAAATCATAATGTTTACCTTGTCACTGTCCTGTTTATGCAGAGAGCTCTCAGAGGTCCCCCTGTGAGCCAGCTGCGGAGGCCACTGTCTTGAAACAAGAGGGAAAGGTCCCCAGTCGTCTGGCCCTTGGAAACCGAGGTGGATACAATGGGAGATGCTGGGGTTCACCTGTCAGGCAGAAGAAGAAACACACAGGTAGGAACAGACTAGTTCATACAGCATCTAGTGCTGTGCTGGCAGTCTGCTGGGCTTTCAGCAATTCCCTTGCTCTTTCATTCCACTTGTCAGCCTTTCCTGTACTACGGAAGCAGCTGATTGTCTCTGAGATGTTTGGCATGGAGAAATAGGTTTTGCCCCACAGATTTCCTGCCCCGTTCTGTATGGGAATTTACCATACCTTTCTCACACTAGATATGTTCTGGGTGATGGATTAGGTATCTGGAGCTGAATGATGGCTGGACTCTGGGAGCGAAGCACTGTGCTCCTGGGTCCAGAAACAAATTCAGAGGAGCTGCCGCCTCTCTACACTTCTCTTGGGAAGGTTATAAATTAGAGGCCGGGGATGTGAAGAACCTTTCTGTAAATTGTGCAGCATATACCAGAAGGGTTTTCTTCATGCTCATACAATATGTGGAACTTGACTTTGTATGTGTATTTGTTTCTTGTTGTTACACACTGCCACAAAGCTTGGCAGGTGGAGCAAGGGGCTGGGATGGTGTGAAGGGGGAAATAAAGATACATTGTTCTTGGACTCTTCTGCTTTTTAATCCAAGAGCTGCAAAATGACACTGATATCTGTGGCCAAAATGAGTAATTTAATCTTGGTTTGCAAAGTTGAACGCCTGGCAGCTGTAAGGCTGACTGTTACTGACACAACTGATCTTGGTTGGGACTGTAGGTGATGTGGGTAGGAGTTTACCTATCCACGTTACATTTACCAATCCTGGTGACGTTACTGTGTTGGTTCTGGTGTTGTAGGCATGGCTAGTATTGACAGCAGTGCTCCTGAAACCACCTCTGACAGTTCTCCAACACTCAGTCGGCGTCCACTACGTGGGGGATGGGCAACAACATCGTGGGGCAGAGGACAGGACAGTGACAGCATCAGCAGTTCTTCAAGTGATTCACTGGGATCTTCCTCTTCCAGTGGGAGTAGGAGAGCCAGTGGGGGAGCCCGTGCAAAGACTGTGGAAGTTGGCAGGTAATGAATAATACTGGTGCACAGAGGCAATCTCTAGGCCTGATGTCAGGAAGCTAGCACATGTGCATCAGGAAGTACTTCTTTGGGAGAGTTTGTTTCCATTCCTCTGGACCCTAAAGACAGGAAATCTGCACTGCAGCTAGTGAACTTGGGGTACTTGTTGCTGCCTGAAAGCTTCCTCTGTCTTTTTCTTCTAGGTATAAAGGGAGACGGCTGGAGAGCCATGCTCCTCATGTCCCAAACCAGCCCTCAGAGGCAGCTGCTCACTTCTACTTTGAATTGGCCAAGACAGTCCTTATCAAAGCAGGTGGAAACAGCAGTACCTCTATCTTCACCCACCCTTCCTCCAGTGGTGGGCACCAGGGACCACACCGCAACCTTCATCTCTGCGCCTTCGAGATTGGGCTGTACGCACTAGGGCTGCACAACTTTGTGTCTCCCAACTGGCTCTCTCGAACTTACTCCTCTCATGTCTCTTGGATCACAGGTTACAGCAAAACTTTATCAGGAAGCTTACTTCTGGGCAGGAAGGAGGGGAGGGAGGCAAGCTTATTCCCCAAAATGGTGATGCTGATGTGCTATGGTAACCATGTAAGCTGCTGGCACAGCTGGCAGTAGAAGCTGAGCACGAATGATTTACAGAGTGGTGCTTGCTTTGGCCTGGAAAGTTCCTGTGATCTGTTTCTTCTTGTTTGTACTGCAACATGCTTCAGTCTTCAAAGCCATAGACCACTTCTCGTACAGAGACTGGTCTTAGTTTCTCTTTGAGGGGTCTGCTGAAGAGAGAGACATTTGTCAAGTCTGAACATGCTCTTTGGCTCCGTTCAGCATTTCACTTTCCTCCTCCTTCTGTTTGCACCCAGACCTACTACCTGCTTTTTCTATTCACATGGCTTCTAGAGCCTGAAAAACACACCCTTGAAAAGTCATGTTTTCCTGACATGGTGGAAATAGAGCGACAGTCCAGGCTGTGTTTTATGGGTACTAAAATCAGCTATAGCAAGTTCCTCTCACTGCCTCAAATGCATGTTTAACTTAACTTTGGTAATGGTACCCTTATTCACTGCTTGCTTATTGAGGGCTCTTGCCTGTCCTGTGTTTTGGGAGGAAGAGCCTAAATTTGACATGAAGCCTAAGGGGAGCAACTGGGCTCTGTCACTGCTTCTGAAGGAAGTGAGGAGTGCAGCTCCTGTTGAGGGAAGGCTGACTAGAACTGCGCTGGGCATACAGTGGTGTGAGAATCTTCTCCCTTCCTCTTAGGGCAGGCCATGGAGATCGGTAGCGCAGCCTTGAACATCTTGGTGGAGTGTTGGGATGGACATCTGACTCCCCCAGAGGTGGCATCATTGGCAGACAGAGCTTCACGGGCCAGAGACTCCAACATGGTGCGGGCAGCTGCTGAACTGGCACTCAGCTGCCTGCCCCATGCCCATGCCCTGAACCCAAATGAGATCCAGAGGGCTCTGGTGCAGTGCAAGGAACAGGTGAGCATCACATGGGGGCTGGCTAGTGCAAGCTGATTTCTAGCATCAAGGATGTGCTGTTACTTGTGGGATTGGCTCCTCTGCCACTGGACAGCCTTAATCTCAGTTCTGTGGATTTCTTATGTTTCATGAATAAGTCTGGTTATTCTGCTGCATAGTTGTGATCTGTCTGCTCCCCATAGCGTCAGTCATTTTAGAGCGCCTTATACTTTTCTCATGTTGTAGTTTTGCCTTCTTGTGTTTCTCATTTTGCGTTCTTCACTTCTGCTTTTCTTTCACTGCTCCCAGGACAATCTGATGCTGGAAAAGGCCTGTATGGCAGTAGAAGAGGCAGCCAAAGGAGGTGGCGTGTACCCAGAAGTCCTGTTTGAAGTAGCTCACCAGTGGTACTGGCTTTACGAACAGACTGTTGGTGGGACCCCAGCCCAGAGAGAAGGTGCCACTGGCTGCAGTGCCAGTGGTGCACGGGCTGCCTCTGAAGCGGCACGTGGGTTGACAGACAACCGGGTGACCTCTGAGCCGACCACTGTAACAGTGGCAGCTGCGGTAACTGCAGCAGCAACAGTCATGCCGGTGATCTCTGTTGGGTCGACCATGTACCAGCAGCATACAATGGCAGGGCCAGCAATGGCACATACGCACACGCAGGGTCTCCATCCTTACACCACCCTTCAGACTCACATACCCTGTAATCCCCAGTATATTGGACACACTATCCAGCACATGCCGCGCCCAGCTGTCTTCCCGGTCCCTGGCTCGGCGTACCCACAGGTGAGTTTTGCCTGTGCCTTGTTCATTTATGGTGAACTTTGTGTGGCTGCTTCCAGAGGGAGTACGTCGGACTGGGGAGAGTGTGGGGCTTAGCCCTGCCATGGCTTGAGATCTAGCTTCTGCTCCCACTTACTTGCTGATTTGTGATACTTACTCTGGCTTCCCAGCTCAGCGTTTGCATAATAAGGAGCCTTCTATGGGTGCATTTAAAGTCTCAAGAGAATTTAAAATATAATACATCAGTAGTTTTTAATTGTTATTGCCCCATAGTTTCTCAGAAGGCACTGGACAAAAAGATTGTCTTCTTCAGAGCTTGCAGACTAAACAGAGACTACAGAGGGAAAACCAAATAAAGGTTATTTTAACCTCCGCCTATTTTTGAAAGTTTTTGGAGCGGTTTTCTGCTTTAGGTTTAAAGGGAGGAGGAGCAAGCAGATGTGATGGTCATGTCGTGCCAGGTAGTTTCTGTGCTGCTTTTTCCTGTGCTTCCTCCTCCCTGTCAGATTGGACTTCCCATGCTCTGAGGTTTGTGTGGAGACATTGTGTTTTGGACTACTTCTAAATGGTCAGACGAGGTAGACATGACTGTTACTTATGTTCTGTTTTAGGGTGTCCATCCAGCATTCATAGGAGCGCAGTACCCTTATTCAGTAACAACACCGTCATTGGCAGCTACAGCAGTGTCATTTCCCGGTGTGCCCGTCCCATCCATGACGCAGATTGCAGTGCATCCCTATCACAGTGAGACAGGACTGTCACTGTCTTCCAATGTAGCAAGTAAGTGTTACTTTATTTACTGTGCCTCCTAGCTGTACCGCAGTCAAGTCCTGCTCCTCATTGACCACAGGTGGAACCAGGGTTCTTGCACTGAAAAGTTCTGGCCAAATCCACTCCATCCTAAAGATATGCATGCTAAGGGGTACTGGGATTCATAAGGGGGCTGATTCCACTAGTGGAGCTTTAATTTCTGTTTGGCTGAATTTCCAGTATGAGATTATTTTGGCCTCTCAGACTAAAGTGTGGTTGGAGCTCTCCTGGCCTTTCTGACTTCTAAGTTGTTAGGGCATTATTCCCCCTCTTCTTTGGGCAAGGTGAGCATAGATGATCTTGAGCAGTGTCTTGTGGTTCCTTTGGGTCAGATGAATAGAGAGTGCAGGAAGCAGACAGCAGTCAGACTTCTGCTACACTAGCACTAATAGATGTCTTTCCAGCCCAAAGGGATTGGAGGCGGCTAGTACCTGAAATGTGGAACTTCATTAGAGAGGACAGATGTTTTGGCAGGATCATGTCAATGGTAATCTGAATGATTGCTCACATGTTGTGTTGGCACTAGAGCAGTGGTGAAGACCCATCAAGTAGTGTGCAGCACTGGAACAGCAGATGTTGACTGAATTGTGGACATGCTCTCATTGCCGTGGGGTTTTGCACCAGTGGGTCATGGTTGACCCAGGCTCTGTTATCCCTTCACTGGAGAGGTTGTAGTGTTTGGCTATTTGTACATTTGCTTATCAGTGCTTTGCAACTCACCAGGTGCTGGAAGACTGGTATGTGGGAAAACACTTAAGAGCTCTGTTGGCCTCCTTCATATCCAGATTATCAGGAGAATCTTTTCAGTTATTTTTATCTTGCATTTTGATGCCAAAAAGCCACCACAAAAGCAAATAGAATAGTCCTGAAGGCCTCAGGATCTGAAGAGCATCCTTTGCTGTCAGCCTTCGTCCTGGGCTGATGCTGTGACTCTTAATTGTGAGAAACCATTTCTGTACTCCAAGGAGTTATGAGTCTTCCAGAACTGCTAACTCATCCTAGGGCACTTAAAATAATGAAAGGAAAAAACAACTCCACCCTTCCCAGTTGCCATTGTTTATGGCTTGCATAAACTTCTGTTTTTGGTTCTTAAAATACTGTTTCATTGTTCCTAGAATACATAGTCACATGGTGACGCTTGAGCTCTGGCAACTATTCAGCTCATTCTTGTGGGTTATTCTCCTTGGCCAGACTTCAAATGCAGCACAGATTTTGCCCCACTTTGACACTGTGTGTCTGCTTGGTTGAGGAGGTCAGACAGATCTTTCCTGGGAGGCATATTGTTCTCAGGTACTCAACTATTTTCTAGTAAACATGTTAAAAAAAAAAAAAAAAAATGCTTGTGGTGGCAGGGGAAGAGGAGAAGTCAGAACTTGGAGTATTGCCCAAGGTGGTGTAGTAGCACCACAGAGAAGCTGTGAAATAAGGTTAACAGTGTGCACACACCTAATGGCATCTCTGCTCTGGAATTCTCAGGCAAACCTTGCTTTTTCCTCTCTGTACCTTTCTTGAGAGGGAAAGTTAGATACACTTGAGTCCCTTGTCAGAGTACAGCTTACTGGCTCAGTCTTAACTGCTGTCCATGCAAGTTTAGGTGGTACAATGTAATGGATTTTCCTGTGATTTCTGATTTTCCTTGATTTTGCTCATACTAGTTAAGTGTCTGAAGGTGACAGAGCTTCTCAAATTTCCTTGCTGTTTTTATTGTCAGTATGTGCTGCCAGTGTATGCAGTGGCTGTTCTTTCTGAGGATGTATTGGAGGCTAGCCTCCAGTAACACTCTTCCTGCCTGGTAGCTGGATGGAGTCATAGCTGTCTTACAGCAGAAGTGGAGGAACCTCACAGTGTTGGACTTGATCTTTGAGTGACTTAATACTGTTCCTGCTCAATGGTTTTCCTCAGCAGTTTCTCATCAGATGTAGACAAGCACGTGCTTGTTTCCTTGCACAAGAAATCAGAACCAGACGTCATTTAATAATAGCAAAGACCTTTGAGTCAACACATGTTTTTACATGTAAAACATGTATCATGAGCATATTCATGGTATACTGTGAAAGAGATGGACAAGATTGTAACTGACTGCTTTCAGGCTCTACTTGCAAACAAAATAGAGATATTTCTAGCCCGTTGTATTTCAGTTGTAAGTCTGTGGTTTTTGGTTGCTGTATTGTTCTGTTTAGGGGAACAGAACACTACATTGGCAGGGGGTGGTCAGGTAAGGGAGATGATGGCCCAAGTAAACCTTCTTTTAGGCTGGTGGTGGGTCCTAATGCTGCTGTTTTGCTCTCTTCAGTAGGAAGTGTCCATGCAGGATCAACGTTCCCAGCGATTCAGGGGGCTTCCTTGACAACTCTGTCCTCACAGCCCAACTCCCTTGTTACAGGGAGTTTTCCTGCCGAGGATGAGCAGCACAGTCAGCCTGTGAGCCCCCAGGGTCTGCACTACCTCCACTCCGCATACCGAGTTGGTAAGGACGGCCAAGTGGGTTTCTATGGCCCCCCTCGAGAGAGGGATTCAGGGCAGGGCTGCAGGTTTTCACTGTCATTTGGCAATTTGCTACTGCACCTGTTGGGGGTGATGGCATCTTAGCTACATGGGGAAAGCCAGTTCATGATCATATATGGAGGCTAAAAATGGACACAAAGCAACAGAAGATTGAACAGCTGCTGTTGAGAGCCATCAGAGTAGAAGAGAAAGCTAAGTGGGTTAGAGCTGGGAAGAGTCTTGCCTTTCAGCAGGTGTACATAAAGGAGTCTGGATAGGGCTCTGAGGATGTGGTTGTGCAAGTTGTGACTATGTGAAAAAAATGGAGTTCAGCTTCTGCGGCTCATGGATGGTGAAGGCACACTTCTAGTTTAATAATACCAGCTGAGTCTTCAGAGGCACAGAGGGATGTGCACTGTGCCTTTCCAGCTAGGTTGTTGAAAACTGACATGGAGGGAACTTATATTTTGAGGAGAGTGGGTATGTAATTCGCATTCCTTTCCCAGTCACGCTGGTTATGAGGAAATAGAGTCTCTGCCTGAACTGCCATCGGTGCAAGGATATCAGTCTTGGGGTTTCTGATTTGAGCTTAGATTGCAGTAAGCTACTTGTACATAGTCATGGTCCAACCCACTGGATACCTGGGGAGGGAGAAGGGAGCCTCTAAGATAAGCAAAGCCAGCACAGGGTAGCAAACAAAGGGAAACAGGAAGAAAATGGAAGGAAGGCTATCTAAAGGTTGCTTGAGGTTTTTTGTTGAAAGCTAGAGAAGAAAGTACTTGTTAGCCAGAAAGGGGTGCTGATGTCATTGGAAATGTCACAGTGGTAAGCTTTGAAAGGCATTTAATAGCCCGAATAACAGAGAAGCGAGGGGAGGGAGGGAGAGGGTCTGGAGGATGAAGACATAGTGCCTGTTGGTATTTTAAAACTCTTTAAATGGGAGAATTTGCCTGAAGAACTGTAATGGAATAAGTGAAATGTTTGCAGATTGACAATACTGCAGCTCAGTGTTGGCCTGTTGTCTTTGCAACTGAGTAAGTTGATTTGGGTAGCTTCCCTGTTGCAAAATTTGGAGCAAATGCGTTGCTTTCAGGACACCTTTTGTAGTGCAGCCTTTGGGGCTATCTTCTTGATCCTGCTGTAGATGCTAGTGGAGTGTCTCTTTGCAGCTCTAGTGAGGTGTGATGGCTGTGCAGATTTCCCAGCCTGGAGCAGCAGATCCAGACGTTCTTGCAGATACTGCCTGTGGTGACAGGCTCCAAGATGGGCCTTTCATTTCACTCTGGACTCTTTCCAGCTAGGGAATTTTCTGCTGATGAAGGGCAGGCCAATCAGGTTGTGTTGCAGTGAGTGAAGTGCTAGACTAAGTCTTACTGGGCAGAAGTGCTGCTTGACTCTGGCTGCCCCTTTCTCACAGGGATGCTGGCTCTGGAGATGCTTGGCCGAAGAGCTCACAACGACCATCCCAACAACTTCTCCCGCAGCCCACCCTACACAGAGGATGTAAAATGGCTCCTTGGGTTAGCTGCAAAGTTAGGTAAGGCTCAGAGCAGTACTTCAGCAGAAATCCACTTGCTGGGATTTGGACTGTGGTGGGAAAAAGCTCTCCAAAGAGTCAAACTTCAAAGATTGGGTGAGCCTGGTATCTGATCCCATTTCTGAGAATGTTTCAGAAGATCCCTGCTGCTCTTCCGTCCAGGCAGTTGTCCCATTTCTGGGTTCTGTAGACATGCTGTTGAATTTTGAGGCATTGGATTAAGTGCATGGGGTTGGACAGGGCTCAAAGCTTGTATCTCTTCCATTCTATAACAACTTTTTCTTTTCCCTTTCTACTATCTTGTAGGTATTGCTCTTTCTTACGTATACTTACACCTTCTGAAGACCTTGTATAGCAGTAGGTGCTCAAACGACCAATTGTTTGGTTTTTGGTTTTACTTCCACTTTGCTCTTGGATCTTTTTTGTCACCCCTCTGCAAACAGCCTGTCTAGTGGTGTGGCTTCTCCTGCTGCTGCTGGGGGAGGTCCACTGTAGGCAGCAGTGGGGAAGCTTGATTATCTCTCCAGCCTCCCTAAGACCTGAGTGCTGGGGTTGCAGGTGCTTCCTAGATGGGTAGGCAAGAAGCAATGGGAGGAGGTGCAGGAGGTGTCCTTGCCTCTAGTTACCTTGCCACATCAGTTTTCTTTCATATCCCCTTTAAAGACAGGTGAACTGGGAATATCAGTGACTAAGGTGGTACCTGGTCTCTACTCAGACCTGATGAATGATCTCTTGACCCCATGAGTTTGCTAGACTTATCTCCCCTAAGCTTGCTGGAGGATATATTACACTGAGAAGGTGCTCCAAACCCAGGTTCTTGCTGGCAAGTACTTGATTTCTTGTGTGTCTCTTACCTTAACACTATTGTTCTGACTTCTTCCTGTGCAGGTGTAAACTACGTGCATCAGTTTTGCGTTGGTGCGGCCAAGGGGGTGCTGAGCCCTTTTGTGCTCCAGGAGATCATCATGGAAGCTCTACAGAGGCTCAACCCTGCCCATGTGCACAACCACCTGCGCACCCCAGCCTTCCACCAGCTGGTGCAGAGGTGCCAACAGGCCTACATGCAGGTAACGTGTGGCCTGTCTTCTTGCCTGTCAAAGCTGCCAGGCCATTGCCTGCCTTGCAGGTACTGCCTGTGTGTGTGTATGCGCAGAGAGGAAGGGGCCTTGGGTACTCGTAGCTAAACTGGTCCATTGCCTGATGCATCCCTCTCCCTCAGCAGGGACTAGAATAAGCATCGCTTGCTTGTATGGAGGCTGCATACAAAGGACCTCATTGTACTGCTTCTTCCAGGGCCTCTCACCTCCTCTGCTAACCATGAAGGATGGGGTGGTTCTGTGTTCCCTGTCCTCTTTCTTCCTCCAAATGCTACCTGTACCTTTTAACTTCTGTACTTTTTCTTTGCTATGTTTTCAAGCCCTCTGTCCACCTTCCTTCCTAGCCTATCTTTTTTTTTTTTCTTTCCTTGTTTGTAGCCTGTCTTCCCCTTGTTGTGAAGCCCTAGCATGGCTGTCTGGCGTGCCAGTGCTGGCACTAATAGTGGAAGTGGCTTGGTCAGCTACCAGTATGGATGAGATATCTCAGGATTTATTGAAACCAGGAAAAATGTGTTTCAGTGAGCCAGCTGGAATACCAGACCTGCCTGTTCCTTAAAACAGTGTAAACAGGACACCCCACCTGTACCTACTTCTCTTGAATAAATGACCAGAGGGTGATTCTGTAGACATACTGTCTGGGTTGGATTAGCTGTCCTATCACCTAGGTGATATTTTTGAGAAATGACAGCTTCTTTACTTAAGCTCTGTTTCTGAGCTATATTAGGGAAATAGATTTCTTAAAACCTGGACCTGCAGTTTTGGGGCCTTAGTTGAGAAGCTGATGGAAGTGACAGTGCTAAGCCTTAGAGATATTTTGTAGCAACTTAGTGCAAGCATTACTCCTTCCCTACCCCTTAGCAAAGGAGAGGTCTGGTGAACATGCTGGGTCCCCAAGTGTAACCTGCAGAATGAATGGTGTGAGAGTTAGATGGTGGTGGGGTGGAGTGTTAGCTGACCCTTTTGCACTGTACTGTGACACAATTTGGTGCTCATGAAGGAGAGAACACCTGCTGATGATCTGTGGTGCATTTTCATGCTCTGAGGGGACACTCGCCTTGGCCGTGTTAGGATGTAAGATATAACACTGCTGTCTTTTGACCTAGCTCTCCTCTGTCAGAGCCTCTGACTCTTGGGACCTGGTAGCAGGATCATGTGATCTATCACCCTGGGAGCTCTTGAGTCCTCCTCTGAGTGTCACCAACATGAGGGTGGCGAGCAAATACCTTAAGGCTCTTTCCCTGTTCCCATCCAGTACATCCATCATCGGCTGATCCATCTCACTCCAGCTGACTACGACGACTTTGTGAATGCCATCCGCAGCGCCAGAAGCGCCTTCTGCCTGACTCCCATGGGCATGATGCAGTTTAATGATGTTCTCCAGAACCTAAAACGCAGCAAGCAGACAAAGGAGCTGTGGCAAAGGGTCTCTCTGGAAATGACCACCTTCTCGCCGTGACAGCAGGTGGAGCTCCATGGACACACAACCCTTTGCCCCGCATAGTTGTAGTTCCATTTACACCATCCTTCCTTCTGGTGTCTTTTTTATTTTAGTTTTAACTTGTTGGAAACCACTGATCTGATGTATTTATACCATGACATTCCTCTCCAGCACTGTTGCGTGTTGGTGCTCTGCTTTGCTCGCTCTTCCTCCTCCTTCCCAGTGGGCTGCAGACTTCAGAAGTATCAGGAAATGAGAAGGAAGTTGAGCTGGCTGCCCTGTGGCGTAGTCACTGCTTTTTTCCCTGAGTCCCTGGAGGCTGTCCTGCGAGCAATTTGCAGTGTGATTACGCACGTGTTAGAGGGGTGGGGGATTCTGTCTTAAATATTTATTTTGGCATTTATAAATATGTAAACTTTTTTTTTGTATGGGCTTCTCTTACTCCACACACCAACTCCTGTCAGGAGAAGCTGGGACTGCTGTGCACAGCCAGTGCTCCCTCCATTCCTTTCAGCACCTCCTGCTGAGAGAAGCTGAGACTGGATTAGCAGAGTCAGGGCCACCTCTGCAGCTTTTTGCAGCAGCTGCTGAGGGCAGAGGCTGGAGCTTGGGCAGTCAGAGTCTATGACTGCACTGAGCTGCCTGGAGACTGCCAGAAGTGGGCTCTTTCTCAAGAGTGTCCCTCACTGGGCACTGCTGGCTCATAGGATGTTTTGATTCTGGTTGTTCTGAGTTGTACAATCGTGTTTCTTTTGGCTGGGGTATTACTCTCCTGTAATCAGTTTCTTATCCCTTGTCTCTTCTTGTTTCCTGATTAAACACTTGTTTTCTTAGACTGACTCTCTCTTCTCTCTGCTATGATGTTGACAGTCTGATGGAGCTGGCCAGTTGTGTGTCAGTGGGAGCTCCTGCGAGCCTTGGCAAATAGCTGTGCTGGTTTGGGGAACAGCAGTCCAGCACAAAGCAGGTGGCCAGAGGTTTTACACAAGCTGTGAGCCAATGGTTTCTTGTATGGTACTGCTATGAGAATGATATGCCTCTGCAGAGGCTGAGGTACGTGCGGATTGGGTCGTTGGTGGGTGTCAGGGGAGTTGGTGCTAAGCCTGTGATATTCTGCCAACACTTCTGCCAGCCACCAGGTTCCTTTCCTGGTCTTGACACTAGTGATATTGTGTGGTAATGCAGACCTTTGTATTTCCAAAATATTGTGCAAAACAGTAGCTGCTCACCCTTGATGCAATTGTTAAAGAAGGCTAGGGGTCTGTTACCATGCGTTTAGAGTTGTTTGGTAGACTATGCAAGATATCCAATAGGGATAGCATTGCAGAAAATTAATTTTAGAAAGCTTTTGTTTTTATGCCAAGGAAATTTAAAAGGCTACTGCTATTTGTAAGCATAGAAGCACATAAATTTCAGGGCTTTTAAAACTGGAAGTCAGATGGTTGATGGATGTTAAGAATCCATTTCTCAGTAGTAACGTATTTTGCTTCTTACTTGGGTTTAGCCAATGACAACGGGGAGCTTTTTGTTTCTGCAAGCTAGAAATATGTGCCTGTTTGTATTTGATATTTGCAATGATACTCTTAAAAAATAAACAATCTAGCTCATAGGCATAGGGCAAAACAGATGAATGGGCTCCTTTGGTTTGACTTTGTGTACTGCACAGGCCAGAGAGCGTGACTGAGGTTCCTCTACTTCTGATTGTGCAACAGTAACTATTTAAAGATCTCCTTAGGGCCCCTGGTATTCCTCCATAAGGCATCTAGTTACATGCTAGTTATAAATGCTGATGTTCGTAAGAATGTGTTAAGTTTTGTGGGTTTTAAACTAAACTCCATGTTGATTATGAGCTGCCTGTTACTGGGCAAAACTCCTGGATTTGACTGAAGAGCACAGCCTGATGTCTGGAAGGTTTAGGTTCCTGGAGCACTTTCTGTGCTCTCTGGTTCTTGCATGTTCAGAACTGGGAAAGGAGTTCAGAGAGAAATTATTTTTCTAATAAAGTCTAATATTTTCCTTTCTACTGCTTATAGGATAAAATTAGGGGAAAAGAGGGGAGCATCTTCTAGAAGGAAAGAAGTAGAAGTCAAATGGGCAAAAGAGCTGAACGTGTTAAATATCAGGAGCAGAAGTGACTGTTACTGCATTGAGGATTCAGACTGAATAGGGAAATGAAATGGCAGAGCCTTATCTGTGATATCTATTAGAAGACTACACTTAGATCCTGAGCAGGCAAGTTTTCAGACTACTGTAATTAAAAAACACCAGGAACATGAAAGCACTGTAACCAGTATCCTTGTTTTGGGAAAATACAGTGGAGCTGCTTACCGTGAGGTTAGAATGGACGTTATCTGGAAGTGTACTTGCTTTCATTCTGTGTAGTCCCCATAAAGACCGTAACAGAAAAGAAATCCCAATGCCCATTATCTTTCACTGTGCTCAAAACTTTCTCTCTTTGGTTATTTTACCCATTCTAGCCCTCATACAGATTGCACTGCTTCCATATGACAGACCCAGAGTTGTCTTCCAGCAGCTGCAGAGCCCAAACAGAGGAAGAGCCAGGGAATCTCACCTCAGGCTGACATTGATTGAACAAGCAGCTTGGTGGTATGAGGCACAGGTCGGTTGTTTCAGAATTTTCTAGTCCTTTCTCTGAAGAAATTCCTCAGAGTGAGCAGACAGAGATGGGAGCTGTGTGGAGGTGCTATACCCTCATTTATTCAGGTCTTCCAGAACACACTTTCAGTCTTGGATCTCTGCATCTGTTAATCTGTTGTTGTTCCTGAGCCATATCCCATGGAAATATATCTGAGCCAGGACAGGATAAAGTAGAAAGTGAGAAAGGAGATGGTGATGTTTTTTCTCGCCATGTGGCTGGGAGGTTCTTGAGGTATTTTTCTTTTATGAGAGATGAGATGAGCCCTGGTGGCCCCAGAAGCATTAATCTACTATTAAGGCAGAAAAATTATTAGCCAGTGCAGTCTTGTTAGTTTGGTCACTGTTCCAGGAATGGGGAAAATACTGAGGCTCAGAAGTTCTGAAAAAGACATTTCAGAAGATGACCTGTAAGAGAGCAGAGGTTGCAGCCAACTCAAATTTCCTTTGACTTCAGTTAATCCATGTGTTTTTTCACTCAGAGCAAATGTTCTCTAGGTCCTCACTCTTACCAGCAACACGTGAAGTAGCTGTAGTGAAGGGCAGCTGCCACAACAGCTGGATGCTTTAGAGCTCTTCTAGAAATGGTTTTACATAGCTGAGAAGCTGTTCTTTGTGTTGGCAACTACCTCTTCCCAGGCTGGGTAGCAAATGCTGAATTTAGTCAGTACTAATAGCAACAGGTATTTGTCTGGATAGGGCCTGGCCCCCACTTGCATGAAGACAGATGATATTCTGTGATGGGTTATTGCAATGGGTTATTGTCATGTTTGGTGAAGTCTAATTCACTGTCTGTTCCTTGAAGGTAAGACGAATGAGGTCTTCAGACTACTTCCTGTGTTCTCTGTTCACAATTACTTGCTTTCACTTGCCAGATTTGTTTCTTCTTGTGACCACAGGAATTGTACTTTCCCTTTCAGCTTTTAGTGTCTCTGGAAATAACAGCTCACTTCAGTGGGGAGTTGGAGAAGTCAAATTTGTACAGGTGCAGATGAAACCAGCTGAGAAATGGCTGATGTCTTTACTGCAAGATAGATGTAGGGCGGTTTTCACTGTCCTGCTAGTGTTGAAGATCAAACTGCTTAATAGTCCTAATTAGGGCATTGCACTAAGAGCAGCCTTGTACTCTGAGTTAACCCACTGTCTGCACTTGAAGTTTCATGGGTGCTTGAGCTAAACAATTTGGCATGGTGCACAGATGTGCATTTTGATGCTTTGTCCAAGAATGCAGATAAAAGAAGATGGTGTTCCAGTGTTAGGATACTTACAAGCAACTCCTTAAAGTTGGAAATTCCCTCTGTGTCTCATTTTATATATATCTCTCTCTCTATACAGTGGGGGCCATATATAAAAAAATGTCAGGGAGAGGGTGTGAGAAGATACAGATGAGGTACTGTAAGTGAAAGGGCCTTCCCCCCCGCCTCCCCTTTCCTGAGGACGTTAGTGGGTGGCCACGTAGTGTCTTTACCCTTTACCCTTGTCTTTGTATGCACTCTTACCCTGTATCTGAGACAGCAGTGTTTCTAGAACTTAACCTGTTGATCCCTGCAGAGTTTCTGAGTGTTTAGGGGTAAAATCTTGGCATTAGTGTGGTTGGTAGACGACATGCCAACATTGCATCTGGACTTTTGGCTGTTTGGCTTGCTGGAAGGAATAGTGTGACTCTTGTTCTTATGGAATGGATAAAATAAAGGTTTTAGTCATTGCAAGCCTTATTCCTTGGAAGACATCTCGTGCTGCAGATAGCCTTTTTCTGTGTAGATCAGGCATGCCAACCTCTGAGAGGGTCGATTCCCCTCCTCCCTCTCTGGACATGCTCACCTACAACTATCTTTCTTGCCTGTGAAAGTTTTCCTTTGGAAGCACTTTCCAGGAATATGAGTTAGCAGAACAGTATTTGCCTTTGGACACTAAAGTGTCTTTACAGCCCATGAACAAGTTGAGTTGGAGTTGTCATCTGATGAAGCAACGTGCCTAGCAACAGGTACAGCTGCAGTTAGCCGAAAAGTGTGTTTCTGTCTAGTTTTCTTTACTGTTATTAATATTTATTTGGGATATGTATTTTCCATTCAGAAATAGCCTCCTGGGGAGTTGTTGAACCTAAACTGTTTAATTCTTTGCGTGGGTTTGGATTTTATCAAGCCTAGCACTGTTGTATTTTGGAGCAGAATACAGGCTTTTACTTTCCCAGCTTATTTAGCACTAGCTCGGCTATGGCTACACAGTGCTAGAGTGCACTGAACAGCCTTGCAAATGCCAGAGTCAATGGAAATGGAGTAAGTGTTGAAGTATCTATAAAGTTTATCACCACCTCCTGCTATAAATCAGTCAGCTGTAACAGGACATCAATTTGAAATTGTTTTATGTAGGAGTTGGGAAGTTGTATTTTTCTTACCTAGGCGATAAGAGAGGGGCAGGGTATTAAAATGAATTTTCTAGGATGCATCTGGGGGGAAGTGTGCTGAAACAGAAGTGTGCTTACAGTCTGCTACTGATGCCTTTCCTTTTTCCAGCTTAGTTTAAAAAAAAAAAAAAAAAAAAAGGCAGGTTGTGCCACGAGGACTTCTCAGCATTTGATGACCATGACTGTTGTATGACTGACTTTGCTTTTAAGCCCTACTGATAGAATGATTGGCTCTCAACTACAGTTTATTTATTTAGAATGTTTTGTGTTTTCTCTTTCTGTGCCCAAATTTAAGTAAGTGCCACATGACATGATTATGGTAAAGAGGGTCTTTCTTAAATAAAAACTTTTTGTTTTTTTTTAACTACCTCCCATCTCACTACCCCTCTGCCCGAGCACAATTCAAATGTGGCTTGTGAACTTCTTTCTGCTTCCTGTTTCCATTTTAAGGATACTTGCACTTGGGGCAGGGTAGTGGAGGCACCTGTCCAAGAGTGGCATTAATCTGTAAAAGCTGCATTAATCTGCAATAGCTTGGGGCTATTCTGTGCTAGGGTTTTTGTTTGAGCCTATGACTAGTTAATGCTTTTACTCAGGGGTATTGTCCAAATGGAAGCTTTGTGTGCTGTTAGAAGGTAACTTCACTACTGTATAGTGTTTCTTGTTGTTGTAAAGACAAGTGAGTGCTCTGTAAGCAAGTAAGTGACGTTTTTCTTGTTGGTGTTGCCTGCTTACAGTTATGGCATTCATTGCCGCACTGCACAATTTATTGCCATGAAGGGGATGTGAGCTACAAGATGGGGAAAATGCTGGAAATGCATTAAAAGTGTATTGTATATAGTACATGTACATAGATAGCATGCACTATGAATGGGGACTGGGTTCCCACAATTTCCTTCCATGTCATGCTTTACTTTTTGCCTCATTTAAGTCAGCCAGGAGAGCTTCTCTGTCAGGAAGTTGGGGGCTTAAAGGGCAGCCATTGTGCAGGGCCTTAGTGTCAACACATTGTTGTTCTAAGTCTTGAAATGCACCTTTTCCAATGACTTGAGGGGTTCTGAGATCAGCCTGATTTAAGATCATTTGTTACCATAGGTGAAATAAACATGAGCTGGGTTTCAGACTGCTGGGGCAGTGTCACCATTATGGATGTGCTCGTTTACAAGCATTTTGGAGACTGGCAAGTTGGTAAGTCTATATAGATGAGAATGGGAAGAAATCCACTCTTGAAAGCCAAAAATAGATGGATTAATAAATTATTTCTATATTATTCTCAAGAGCAGTGGAGATGAGTGTCGGGAATACTTTTTTTTGTAGCAAAACCAGCTTGCAAATTGTTTCCCAGAGGCAAGCATTAGTTCCTAATCTTAACAATGCTCAGTGTTTATGCTCCCCCCCAACCCTTGCCTTTAAGAAAAAGGGGAAAGAAATAAACTGTAGTTAAAGCCCTGATGACTGGAGCAGAGGTACCAGAGCTCAAGCCATGTCTTGCTGTGTGATAGATGATACTATTCCTGGCTTGACGCAGCCTGCTGAAAACACGTGTGCCCATGCGTGTTTTAGCCTGTGTGTGTTTTAGCCTCCTACTGTCTTGTTTTCTTGCTTGCAGCTGCACCATGTCAGCCAGGAGACACTCAGGATTCAGGCGGAGGGGGTGAACAGGTTTGTTTCAGATTCATGTGGCATGTTCAGTTGTGTTTGTTTGTCATTGCTTTTCTTGCCATGTTACTATTGATACAGCAAAATGACCGGCAAAGAATCAAGGATTCTCTTACCAACTGAGTGTGAGGGCTGAAAAACATCAGGATTTGATCAAGTTGCTTGTTAGATTCATATAGCTAGACTCTTGTGTGTTGTTCTGACTTCGGGAGCTGCAGACTTCTGCCTTTGTAGTGTTGTCATTAGTTGAAAACTGCAGATGTTTACATAGAGTTGATACATGCTGCCACCTAGAGAGACATTCTTCCAGTTCCCTTAAAAGGTCTTCACCCTATAGTTGAGACTCATACCAGTATTTCCTGTACCTAGTAGGAAGAGCTAGCAGCCTACTTTTAAGTATCTTCCCAATTCAATTCCAGAGGTTGTGTGTGAGTAGAAGTTCCAGCTTCATATGCTGAGCTTTCTTTTCTGAGGTTGGTGTATATAGATACTGATGGCTTTCTTAAAAAAAAAAAAAAAAAAAAAAAAAATTGTATTGTTTGTTTTGCCAATTCTCACCTTTCATACACCCTTCTAGTTCTGAAGAGTGATATGACCTGGCTACTGTTTCTATTACAATTACATGCCTTTTTGATACCTGGGTCAAATCACTCCTTTTTAAATGGGTCAGTTTCCTATGTATTGGACTACAATTTTTAATACATTACAAAAAAATTTTCAGGTAATGTTTTGTGCTTACTGTTTTCCTTGTCTTAGAAGTGAACTGCTTACCATGAAGTCCTGTTACTAAAGAGTGAGGTAAGAAGATGAGGTTTATTTCCACTATCAAAATGAAGTGTGAGGGTCTGTAATGTGTAAGTAAGTGCCTAATGGGTCAGTATCCTAGTAACCAGTGTATCCTGCTAGAAAAGATGTTTTTGTTGGCTTTTTGGTATCACAGAGCTGCTGATATTTTAAGAGCTTCTCTTAGGAGGGGGTGTTTGTTTCCACAGCTTTGAAGAGATGTCTGGAAAGAAGGTAGTTTCTGCAGCAATGTACTGTCAGAGGGAGTTACCAGATTTGAAAATAACTCTTCATCAGCTAGATCAGATAAGGATGTCCCACATTTGGATCTGACCACAGCAGGTGATTTGTTTGCTGTTAGCACAAGCAGTAAGAACAAGCTGTCCTTTGCTGCCTTGAGTGAAGGACTATCATCAGTAAGCTAACCCTGACATTCAGTGAGCCCCTCCCAGCATTTATTCCTGATACCTTGATTCTTTTAATGTTTAAAACCATCTCCTCAAAGATGTACCATAGTCTGAGGTAAAGCATGAAGTAATTGTGTAAGTGAGCGATACCCTATAATGGATTAAGAGCAGGATACTGTGTTTAATAGAGCATCAGTAGCATTGGTCCTGGGATCCTCCTCCTCCTGTGGCAGCACGCAAAAATAGCTGCTCTGCTGCTGCTGTGTTTATTTGTGACGTGCTTGGTGAACTGAGAGCTGTAAGGCTGTTTTATAATGCTGACACAACTGTGACTATTTAAACAATGTTTTGCTTCCAGTTCAATGTAAGGTTGCTTATTAGTCTAGGTCTGCTGGCCGAGGCCAGGTGACAGAGCACACCTGGACAGGAGGTGCACAGCAAAGCTCTGTTGCTGCAGCACAGCAGCTGGAAACTACTGCAGAAGCCAGGGATGGCCCTAAAGCCATCACTAGTGCAAACCAGTAAGAATGACTCTCTTAAACTACAGGTTGTGTGCTATGCCAGCTTCTGCAAGCCTACAGGAGCACTTGCAGAGAAACAAGCCTTAGGACACTGTTTCTGTGTTGTTACAAATGTTAAGTTAAACACCTTTGTTGCCTTCCCAAATACCAGCTGTAAGGCCTGGAGTAGGTTCTTCTGTTTTTTCTTACCCTTCTACCAGCTTAGGTCCATGACATCACTCCAAGTCATCACAAAGAAGAAAAATAAGTAGTACATTTATTGATTCTCCACTTACTACTACTTCTAGCCTTTATTCAGACACTTGTGCTCAGCTTCGAGAGCCAAGAATTTCTTCATTATCATTCAATGTGAATGATGCTATACATGAATCCAGTGCAGGAAGTCAGGCTCTTCTCTCCACCAGGAATGAGAGAGGGGTTTCTAGTCTTTCTGTCCTTTTTTTGGCTGCACAAAATAACCCTTTCCAAGGGCACATGAAATAAAATACTATATTGCATACTATATACATTTACATACAACGGTAAATGCACCATTCATTCAGAAATACACAATACCTAAGGCTCAATGGAAAAGCTTGGTTGAAGCAACTTCTCTCTGGATAGGAGAAAAGGAGCTTATGACAGTTGTGGGAGTTTCCATAATCTGTGTTCATATGTCCTCTGTCCTCTGGAACTGCAGCAATCTCCAAGGACTATTGGTGCCTGGGAGGGAGTGGCGATGGCCCACACAATTCCAGAAGCCCATGGCTCAGTGACAGAAAACATGTACAACCATGATGGAGGATTTCCTCTGAGAATAATTATCCGGCAACTACAGGAGGAGGCAAAGCACCTTAGTGTACTTACTTGACTATGTGCAGAAGTAGTAAACTAAACAAACAGCCCCTTTTGGACATAGGAAACCACTTTAACTCTAAGCCTTCCCTTTATATCTGAACAATACTTTTAACTGCTTTTTGCTTTTCTCCTTTGATAGCAAGGGAATTAAAAGAGGTGCTAGCTATCAGCATATGTGGTAGGGGCCTTGGAGCTGTTGGAAAGAGAAAAACATTTTTTTTTTTTTTTAAGCTGATCAGACATGGGGAACTGAATTGTCTGTTTTCAGCTGTATCAGCCTTATTTTACAATACCTGAGCTTTGCCTCCCCCGGCTGCTGTACTGCACTAACACATGCCTCCAGAGTGCTCTAAGGGGACATATGGCTCCTTGGTTATCTTTTGAAATGTCTAAAGTCCCTGCAGAGAAATACTTGCTGTGTTGCCACATATAGCAACCTTTTCCCTAAGAAAACAAATTAATTCTGTGTGTCACTATCTGCAGCTTTACCTTATCTCCCACTGCCCACTGACCCTTTGGACACTGGACACTGTATCACACCAACAATGCTGCAGGTAAGGAGAAACAATCTTACATCTATTACATCAGCCTCCAAGAAGGTGCAGTCCCCAGCAGCCACACACAGTGGCACTGTAAGTAATGATCATGGCCACTGTACCCTGCATGGGGAAGAACAAGGCATTCTTGTACCTTGCTGTTGCCAAACAGACTACTGGATAAAAGCTGGGGTTCACTGGACTAGATTCCCCTTTTATTAAGCTGCTGCTCTTTTCTCAGCAGTGGGCTCAATAGCTCACCTCTTAATAGCTTACTTCTGGACTCAGAAGAGTAATACATTAACCCTGCAGCTAGTCCCTGTTTCATATACTGAGAAGAATAATTTAAACAAAGTGTTAACCATGCTCTTTCCACTGCTCAAAGTAGGGCAGGTGTTCCAAATCCTTCCTGTAAGTAAAAGTCGAAGTGTAACACACCATTAATACTCAAGAATGTGACTTGCACTCCATGCCCCAGGGCAGTGTCAGAGGCAGGAGCCCTTCCCAATGATGGGGAAAGGCTCCACATGCACATTCTCTGCTCCTCCTCATTTGTCCAGTTGTTTTGGCTTGACAAGAGATGGCATCATAGCACACTTTGGAGCACCACACATCCCAATGGCACTGGGGGCAAGGGAGTCCCTCTCAGCTCCAGCTGGAGTTCTGCAGTTCCTCTCGGAGCCAGGTTGGAAGGGGCTGCCCAAGTCTGTTCATCAGCTTGGATAATTCAATGTTGTGCTCCCGGTAGAAGTCTCTTAGGAACAGCCGTGACTGTGTGGAAAACACAGACCACATTAGTGTGAAAGAAAATGTTACCCTCAACACATCCATAGGTAATCTAGGACACAGATGATAAGAAAATCCAGGTTGGTTTGCTGGGACGTTTCTACACCTCTTGCTGCCAACAGATTTGAGACAGTTACTCACCGAGGAATCCATATCAGGGTATTTTCTTCCTTTACTCTTTCCTAGGCATTTAGTTTTTCCTCCATCTAGCAGCTGGCACCAAAATCCTTTTGCTTCATCAAATCTGAAAAGGACACTTGTCTTTAAAAGATATGGCCACATGCCCAATTAGTAGCAGCAGAAATTAAGTAACTCCATAGGTATTTTCCATTTCAATGCTTTACAAATTGGGTTTGGGTTTTATTTATTTATTTGTGATATTGATTCCTTTTTTTTTAGCACTTGACTACTTTGACAAGAAATCCATTGCAACCATGACTGTTTCAGCTTTTTGCAAATTTCAGAGGTAATGTGGTGTTACAATATTTGTCTGTTAGGCTTGGGGTGGGGGGAGAATAATAATCAATGTTTTACTGTATGTAAATTCTTTTACATCTCCTCATGGAGAAGTATTAGAGAATCCCCCGACCATTTAAAGAGTCAGTTTTTCTTTTCTTGCTTAAACACAGGTATAAGGCAATGCTGGGAACCATGTCTGGTCTGGTCTGTCCTGTCTCCTCAATTGGCCAAAGGTGAGCCTGAGGTGTGAGCAAGTACCTCTACCAAACTCTGAGGCCAGCTGACCAATACCATTTATTTTCTGACCCTGGCTGAAGGTACCACCCAGTACCACTACTGTAAATAGTCCATTTACCATCACCACATGGGCTTCAGCAAGTAAGGCTTTCAAGTAATCTGCCATTTCTCTAAATCTGGCCTCCCCTGGGGAGCCACGTGACATCCCCTTGGAAAACAACTCTTTACTGTTAAAGGAAGGGACAACTGCCAATTGCCTACACACATGCGCACCACCCACTACCCTCAACTAGCATAGGCTGTGATAGCAGAGAAGATGGGAAAACAGGTTGCAGCTGCAAGGAACAATATTCAGGATCTCCAGTGGGCTTGCAGAGTTTTCACTGAAGACTGATATGTCCACAGTTCACCTTCAAATAGCAGTTAATCTATTCAGATTAATTGCACTTGCACTTTGGGCAGGATCACAGTAATGGCTGAGTAACATTCTTCAACTTAGTAACAGTAAGGTAGTGCCTCTGCTAACACTTCCTCAGATAGCTCTGGGCACCTGTCAACTCCATGCCTTCTGTAATAATAGGCTCTTTACCTCAAAGCTGTGCAATGTGTCCCTAATCTCCATCTGGTTGAAGATATGAGCAGCTCATCACACATTTTTTTATCATACCTCCTCTACTTTCTGTCAGATATAGGTATAACACAAAGCATAAGGAGTGCTAATAATTCCAGCACCTTTTCTGAAACCACAAAGACCAAATTGTAATTACTGCTGTGAGCAACTTCACGCTTCTCCATGACAGTGCCAAAAAACACCCCTTCCCCTATCATTTCTAGAAAGACTAAGCTATGATTCCAGTCTTGGCATAGCATCTCATGCTATCTGAACCTAATTTTAGGGTTAGGCATACCTCTGAAACCTTAGCAGGTCATGTAGTCAGAGCTAAGTATTCTTCCAATCAAGTGCTTATTAGTATCACACTTGGCTAAGAAAGCATCCTCCCCAAACCAATTTCCCTACCTGAGGGCCTGGGTGTAGTTAAAGAGCGGTGTAACTCCTAAGAACTTCTGGATGTTGTCCATTACAGAGGCAGGGTTCTGTCTCAGTTCCTGGCCATCCACAATGAGAAGCTGAAAAGAGAGCAGCTGCCTTAGCCTCTGACAGTTTGTGCTGAATGACATGCGAGAGCTTCCTGGATCTCAAAACTGCCCCTGGCCTTTGTGCGTATGAGTAAAGGCTGCCAAAGCCTGTTTATTCTAGAGCAACACGGTGAGGGGATATGGCCCGTTTGTCACCACAGATAGAGAAGTTTTGATACAGGCCACAAATACCATAAAACAGTAGATCATGACAGGCTTTGCTTAATAAACTTGCCTTTGGCCAAATGCCCTGTAACTAAGCACTAAGGCCCATCAGTAGCATGATTTATAGATTGTCTTTGGAAACCTCATGTATTCTTTTTTGATCTCAGCAGCCATTCTGCTAAGTATTCTTCTGTAACCTATGGTTATTCTCCTGTTACATGTATGATAGACAATAACAAATAACATTTGTGCTAATTAATTACCTATTTCAAAGAACAGAACAGAAAAATAGTCGCATGAACTGAAGTAGGAGACCCTGACCCACAGTAAGTACAAGGATGGTGTGTCTGGCTCTATTATTCCTCACAGCAGTAACCTCCAGGAATGAGGCAATGAGATAGAAGCCCAAGAATGTTTTCCCATGTCTCTTTTCAACTTGGCAGATCTGTCATGTATGGTTTAGGCTGCTGCTTTGTCAGAGAATAAGAGACTAAATGGGCATTATAAGCCTCTGCCAGATTACAGACTGTGAGGATAATCCCAGCAGCAGAAAGGAACTTGAAAGAACACATCCTGATTCACAGTGTGTTGGACAGTTTATAAATTTCTTGGGAATTTAGAGACAGTAATGATCTATACTGTCTATTAATTGACTTTTTCCACAAAACACAGAATCCTGACATCTCGGCACCAAAATTTCCCTTCAGCAGACAGCTAAAGGCTTCACAACACAGAAACTAACAAGTGACAGAGTCCAAGAGCCTCTCTCTAAACCCATGAAACTGCAGCAAGTAGCTGAACACTTACTTACTGGGCCTGAAGAGGGTCCCTGGGCTGCAGGCTGCCAAGATGAAAGGAAGGGAGTGCTAACACTGCTGTTCTTGCTGAACTTCTCAATATTGTGGAGCGGTCTGGGAGATCACAGTATCCCCCTGCACTCATTTACTTTTACAAATACAATAAAATGCAAAATTGGAGTATTCAAGCCTGATTTCTTATCAGCTCATAATAGGAAGAAGGAAGGAAGTGGTGGCTCTTGTTCCAAAAGACAAGATAGAAGGTGAAATGAAAACGGGGGGGGGGGGGCACATGCATGTGTTACAGTTTGTTCTCCTCTCCACTAAACCTGCAAGGGGCTCCACAAGAGCCTCTGTCAAACCTCCTACCTGCCCAGAGGGGTAGTATGTTAGCCAGCGCTCTAGGTGAGTTGAATACCAGCCAGGGAGCAGGCATCGGCTTTGCAGGTTGCGCAGTTCCTGAGGGGCTTGGGATTTCGCAGAGATCACTTGGTAGAAGGTATAATTGAGCGCCACAGGGTCATTGTGAGCACGCTGGTGCTGAAAAACGTAAGCTAAATTTAGGAGTAGGAACACAAAATTTTATCTATCACATCTCTGTGCAGACTCCACTCACTTGGCACAACCACCCATCAATGCCTTTGTCTGTAACTGTCCACACTCTGCAGGCAGCCTGCATCAAGTCCCCTGGCCCCTCTACGGGAACGGATCCATGGGCTTTAGGCCCTGGGCTTTCCACCTCACCCCACTGGAACGTCTCTCTGGCCCTCACCCACAGAACAGTGCAGCGAAGTTACCTGGTACCACGAATAGGCTCGGTCAGCAGGGTTGATTAGAACAGTAATGATTTTGGCTCGAGGCAGCAGGGCTGCACCACGTTTTGGTACCACCTCTGTGTCAAAGTAATTGGCACTCTTCTCAAACATGAAGTCTGTGCTGGCATTGGAGGGGATGGGAAAGAATTCCATGTACCTGCCGAACAGATGGGATGTTGGTGAGCAGCACAGCCCAACAAAGAAATGTCACATGACAAAATGATCTTGTGCCTCTTCAACAGATACAGTTTGCAGAACAACTGCACCTCCCCAGTAATGCAATGAATGGGCAAACAGGTGCAGAGCTGGCAGAGAAATGACTTGGAAAGGGGTGGTGGAGCACAACATAGAAAGTTGGAGATCATAAAAGGCTAAGAAAGTCTTTTGCTGAGAGTGTGTTCCCCAAGTCCTTAGTGGAAGGAAAAGGCTGAGAGTAGGGTACTAGTTGCACGCTCTACAGAAAAGAGGTTTTGTCCAAAAGTAAGGTCAGAATCAGCTGCCTGCCCTGCCACTGACCGTTTGTTTAAACCCATCTAAATCATTTGTCTCTTTGTACCTCGGTCCATAGCTGAGATGCAGGGTAAAGAGCTCTGCTCTGCCTCACAGGAGCTTGTCAAATTAGTAAAGTGGAAACTGTAACATATTCAAGTAATGGTAGGGTAGAGGGTAATGGGGAGACAGGGCACTGTAAAAGCACTGGAAGACTGGTCTCTGCTGAAATTTAAGCTGTACAATGAACTCGAATTCCATGCTAAACACAAAGATTCTCCTCTTGCATGTGATGCTACACTCAAATCAAGTTGAGTGACTTTTCCAGGGGATGCACATAAAAGCCTACGCTTTTGAGGCCCATCTGTCAGCTAGTGCAACTGCTCTGTTGTGCTTGACTCGGAACACTTCACTTAAGTACCAACCACCTTCCAATATCTTTTCAACGGTCCTCTAAATGATCAGAGAAGTTAGACAAAATCTCCCACAGCTGACAGGCAAAGAAATCCCACAGCAGAATGCCTTATTGCCACACAGCTGTCCCTTAGAGCCACACACGAGGGAGTGCAGTGCCACAGTTGACCTGAAGTTAATGTTTCGAGCAAGAAACTCCTTTAAAATTTTTTTGCCTAGAAACATAGTGGCATAATAGTGCCATAGTGATACTAGAATTTCCCTGCCAGGTGGAAACACTTTATCCTAATTGCATACTTTTGCAGGTAAAGATGAAGGTATGCATGTGGACACTAGAGCCTGTGCAAGGAATGCAGTGATGGCTCCAAGTCTAAAGGGCTCAGAACAACAGTAGGGAGGTTGGCTCCTTAACTTGGAAACCACAAAGAACTTTTTAGTGAGCACACTGTTGTCTGTTTTGCATATCAAAGGATAAGAAGCCTCATGACAGCAGTGCATTCAACAAAGACTGAATTTTTAAAGCTAAATCATGCCTACAAGCCTCCTGGTGAACAGTCAGTCAAATCAGAACCTACCTGTCCTGCTCCTGGGACTAAGCAGTTGGGTTAGCAGGAAAACAGCTGCTCAGAAATAGAGACGCTACTGAGGTGGACATACAGAGAGACTCGGGAGAAAACAACATGGGTGCATCTTATCCCAGAAGAACAGGCGTCAGGGTTCTTACCAATCGATTCCTTTATGATAGTTGGGTCCATTAAAAAACTGTATCTCCTCAAAGGTGGATGGACTTGGGAAGTTACTGGTGACAGCTGGATGCATGGTCAAGAAGAAGTGCACAGCTGTTGTGCCTGCAACATGAACCAGTTAACAGGACCTGGGTCACACATAATGCTTGGCTGAATGAAAGGCGCTACCTACACCACAACAAACAGTCCCCAGCTGGGCACACTCCTGCCATGCGTGGCTAACCCACCCCTTAACTCATGCAGGTTACAACAGCAGTGACACCAAGCACTTTGGGATTTAACTTCACTGAGGAGTTCAATACCACATTTCAGCTCATACAGCTGATTTAAGTCACCTCCTTAGCACAACAGCTGTCACCCATGTCAGTGACCCCCACACCTTATTTTCCCTGGTGGCATAGCCACACTGTCACATGGTAGAACCCATACCTGCCAAACAGGAGGTGGCCTAGGCACCACAGGACAGCATCATGTGTTTGGGAAGGAGATGAGCTAGGGACAACATTAGTGTCCTTAGATGAGAATTCAGCTAGAGATGCCTTGGCCTGCCTCTGCTATAGATGTGTTCCCTTTACCCAGCCAACGCGAATAATCCTGCTCAGCACACAGCTGTAGGCCTCCAGCAGGCCAATAGATCAGCTGAGAGAAGGGTTTTCTTACGGTGTCATTGCAAGCTTGGGCCATGATACGGGAGGGCTCTTGCTGCACAGACACCAACAGAGCTTCATAGTGACACAGGCAGGAGACAGCAGTTTGGCTGGGACAAGCTTCCTCCCAAGGCCAGGATCACCATTTGCTGTGCATAGTTGGCAACTGCTGTTTCACTGCACTACAGAGAAAGCCAAGGTTTGAAGACCTGGCTTTGGCTGAAGAGATTTTGCTCTCTTCAGCCTAGAAGGGACTCCTCAGTACAGTATATACATCCAAGTCACTGCCAACCACAATACCACAGCAGTTAAGTGATGGTGACAGAGGTCAGAGAAAAGAGGATCTCTACCTCCCGCTGACAGTGACATGGAGCGTGCAGTGGGTACACAGATCTGTTGCAATAAAAGCACTAGGGGGCATTCATTGTAACCTTTGCTAAGCGTGTACGTTTAGTCCTGCTGACAGCTTAGGTTTGTGACACACTAAGAAAGGTCACAGTTTCTCTGAGCTTACATGGAAAAGCCAAAACACAACTCTGCAGGTAGGGCTTTTCTCTGCAAATCAGGACCAAGCCAAGCAAAACGCCAGGATGCAAAGTGCTGATAGACTTGCCAGATTTAGGTTTGAAAAATCTGAGATTCTCTGAAATGTGGCTATTTGCCAGCTTGCACAAAGGGCAGCCGTACAGATCTAAACCACAGACCTTTCCAGCTCTCATCTCTGGAGGAATAAGATGGAAGCTGCTATCTATCTTTAGATAAAGTATTCGCATTACCAGTTTTCTGAGGTCCCACGATGAGGAACTTGGGGAGTCGATCACATGTTTTCTCTTTGGACCAGATATCCTTGTGCCTCTTATCATCGCAGGGATTCTGCAGCACAAATGATGGGATTAAGCTCTACCACAGGAGCTAATGGGAAAGGGGAGGAAAAGCTGGAAGGCCAGTCCTCTTGGGAAAATACTATTAGCATATGAAGAACACTTCACAGCCACACTGCTGCTCTGCCAGGCACCAAGAAGAGTTAAGTAAAAACATGGGGGAACGTTTCCAAAAGCTCCAGAGTGACACAGTAGCCAAGGTCCTTCTGAGAGTGTTAACCACAGGCCTTGCCCTGTGTAGCCATGCTGGGCTGGGCCACCACAATAGTACAGCTCAGCATCTGTGAACTTCTGGCAGACAGACAACTCTATCACCTTCAGTTAATTTCATCTGCTCATTACCACGCAGAGAGCTGCTGCACTAGGATAAAATGGAATAAGCATGTTTTTATTTAATGAACATGAATTCTGCAGTGTGAAATTACTTTAAGATTAATCACATTAACACGCCTGCAAACTCCTCCAGCACCAAACAGGGTTCTTCCTTGCACACTTAACATTTCACAGCAGCTTGCTCTAATATAAGCCCTTTAATGACCCAAATGCCTACAAGCTTGCCCCCTACTCACTTATGACAGTCATCCCTGTCCCTAAGTTCACACCGTGACCATGTCCTGCTGCTCCTACTCCCCATCCCTTCCACCTTGCAATTTGCCACTTGCAGCCTCAAGCCACAGAGGTTAAACCTAAAAAGCTTTATGCATTACCCCTCTGTGCTCTGGACCAGCAGTCTTGCCACACTTTAAATGTGGGACATACCTCTTGAAAACCACTAGGAGCAGTTAAAGCTGCCTTCTCACCTGCCACAAGGGATTATTCTCCTGGGGAAAGATTTCAAAGTACTTTTTTGCAAGTTGGACAGGGGGCAATGTTTGCAATCGAAGGTTGGTCCAGCACTGCACAAACTTGACCAGGCTCTCAAAAGTGTACAGTCCCAGACGGTCATTCCCATAGTTGGACAGGTGGGTCATGAAGATGCTGATCTGAAAATAGGAAAGACATGGGATACTGGTAAATTGGGTAACAGTATTGTTTCCTGCTAGCTTGATTCCACTGTCACCAAGACGCTGTTCACACCTCAGACTGCCGTGGCTGTCTGGATGAATGTCCATCTGCCAGGATACAGCGCTGCCTTGATGAAAAAGAAAGAAATGTAGTGCTTGCAAGACAGGAGGAACTCAGGAGAGGAGGGACACAGACCTCACAGTAACCCCTGGGAATGGAGGGGGGCGGGGGTAGGGGGTGATAACTGAGCCCCAGATGTGAGGCCAGAACAGTTTCAAAATCCCATTCCAGTGGCTCTGGGACATTTAGGGGAACAAGGGTTAGTCAGTGACTCTCTCCTAGTCAAAACCTTACAAAGCCTCTTTCATGGGAGAACAGGAGCTTCCCTTCCTCTCCCCAAGGCACAACCAGGTCAGCCTCTCTAGCTGTGGTGCCTGCTACAGCAGGGGAGCAGGCCAGGGAGAGGGGCAGCATGCTGCAGGCCAGGGCATGGTGGCACAAGGGACAGTTTTCGCAGGAGTTATTTCTAGGCCCACAGCCTGTCAGCTTTCATTCACTTTGGAGTTGACATCCCAAGTGTAAAGAACAACTAGCAATTCACACTTTAAAACACAAACAAGCAATACCTGGGGATCTGAACAGGGACTGCAAAGAGACATTGCGCTAGGAAATCGTTCTAGGAACAGACTGATAAGGTTTTAGCTCGCAAAAGCCTTCAGAACAGGCAGCCCCTGAAAAATGTCCTGCCAAGCCTGAGGATGTAAACCCTTGGGCAAAGTGGCACCGAGAACCCATGGGAGCTCCCCCAGCACTGCAGTGCTCAGGAGCCGGTGTGCTATCTCTGCGTTGCCAAGCCATCCCTTCTCTCAAGCAGATACATTTCCCTCCTGTCTGTTTTTCAGTATTTTTAACTTTTGGAAAAGAGTGTAAAAGACTGCTGTCAGCTTGACTGTGGTGTGTGGCTTTGACAGGTCCCATGGCGTTCTGCATCCCAATACCTGTAACACAACAGCACTTTGCCAGACACAAGCCACACCATGGCTAGAAGTTAGCAAAACAAAAGCAGAACACTAAGGTCAATGGAAGAATGACTATATGGATGATTTAGCGCTCCTCGCCCAGTGTCTGTTAGTGCAGGGAAGGGAAGAGACCTAAGTCACAGTAGGGGCACCCATTGCTGCACAGTTCAGGGCTGAATCCTGATGATGCCAGGTAAGGTCAGCAGGCAACAAAAGGCTTCCCTGGCAGGGGGCAGGAATGGCTTTCCCACTCACAGTAGGGGAAGAGCAAAAGGGGGAAGCAGGAGACAGATGGTGTTGGGATGAAGACATTTGCTGGCACTCAGGAGGTCTGAATTAATTTTTCTGTCCACTGTTGCCATGGACTGGTCTCAGTGCAGCAAGAGGTACTGATAGATAGTAGCTCTTTGTGCCTGAGCCATCCCCAAGACACTGAAATGAATTTAATCCTGTGCGTAAGGTGCTCAAACCCCAGGGTCTTTGGGTAGGCAGTGGTAGGACTTTGGGACACATGGAAAATAGATAGAGTTAAAGATTTATCACGTTCGTCTGCCTGTGAGTTTTCACTTCTGGTTTCCTACTGAGCTGACAGAGAGGCCCTGCCAGACAAACTCTCACACCTACACTTCAAAGAGTAGCGCGTGCTTGGTGCTGTTGTGTAAAAATGATATGCTAAATAAAACACAGAGCAAAGGACAGAAAGATCTTCTGTGTATCAGCAGGAGCATGCCATGGAGCAAAAGGCAGCAAAAGGATGTGTCTCATGTTGTATCTTGCCCATTTCTGGGAGACACCAGGAAGGTGGTGTGACAGCAAAGGGTGGCTCATCCCTTTGGCTTGCTAGTGAGACATTTAGAGGAAAAGTTTGCTGCATGAAGCATCTGGCTCACTGGCATAAACCAAGTACTACAGCAGGGAGGACGCAGGTCACCAACTGGGACCCCTTCAAGATTTCCAGAATAAAAAAAGCCTGCATGTGATCCAGGTTAGCAACTGTGTCTCAAGGCTGACTACATTCGGTAAAATGGCTCACACAGGTAATGCTGTCACCTGCAAACAGTCCCAAGCAACCGGATTTAGAAGACAAGACAAGCCCAATTGAAAAGCCATCTCCCTACCCTTCTTTCTGAGCGTGCAGTCATGTCCTGTAACACACATGCACTGTTAACAAGGTCTGGCGGCTTCCTCTGCCTCGGCACAGCTCCTGCTGCCAAAACAGCTCTGAGCACTACTTCTGACATAAGCTACACTCAAGTCCCATCTCTCCCTCCCTCCCATCCACACCCAGTGACCCCAGGGAACGGCTTAGTAATAACACCTCCCTCCTGTCCCCCTCCCTTCCACTGTCAGCATGCCATGGTTTCCCCTCCTTCACACTAAGGAAAGATGAGAGGAAAGGTCACAGAGAGCCTAAAATACAGAAAGCATGAGGGTATGAGCATTTTTGCAATATGTAACAAGCAGCTGCGGGCACAGAAGTAACCTGCCTGCATAGTGTGAACAAAAGCATTTGTGAGAAGTGATCAGCCTGTCTGCTGAACATCAACAGCTATTCTCCTTCCTGACATCAGACCTTGTTCACTAATCAGAAGATCAAACATCTTCTGTTTGCACTGTGGAGTTAATTATACGCATACAGGCTTGGAGACTCCTGCATGCGTATATCCACTCAAAGGGAGCTGGAAGCACCAAAAAGGACTAAAAGAGCCTGGTCCAAGTCTGCTACAGATCACTGCTGGGGCTGTGGGGCTGGCCAGCTTTCTATCAGGTCTGTGAGATGGCTCTATCAGCGAGGGGAGGAATGCAAGGGTCTGAGTCACTGTGCAAACATGAACAATGAAGAGGAGCTTAGAGCACAGTACTCCACTGCCAAAAGGAAGCAAAAGTGTAAACATGGGAAGCATCTGAAGCATCACCACGAAGAGCCAACAGTAAATCTGGCAAATAAACTCATCCTATACCACAGCACAATCCTCCCAAACTTTTTGGATGACAGATTATTGCCAGCTGCTTCGACCATCACATGCTTATCAGCAAATTTTAATGAGGAGCTCTAGAAACTCTGTTTCTACAAATTCCTTGGCACAGCCTCCTAGACCAGCAATGATCTCTGGATTACAGTCTGGCAACTGTAACCTAGAGCTCTTAAGTTTCACAGTGGCTATATCTGCAGGCATTGTTTAAGATCTGACAATTATGAAGTGCAACAAGGTGGATTTCACCCGACATATGGGAAGAGAAGCCCAGAAAACAAAGCAGTTTCTTTCCATCTGACTGATCACTCCATATATAATGCAAAGAATAGCCTTCTCCTTACTACAGACTTTGATTAAGCAGGTAGATTTGGTTGTTGTGTGTAAAGATAACCATTCTGTCTCAGGTGACAGGGACAGAAGGCTGGCTTCCAGACCTTGGGGATGGAAGGTTGGCTTCAGACCTGGAAATACCCCTAGCTTTTTAGCTAGGGCTGTTATAGATCCATACCTTCTGCAGATCATACACCAAGCCAGAGCTGGTCACAGGCTAACCTTCAGAAACACATAGCCTGTTTGTAAACTACAGCCTGTCTATGTGATGCACCCAAAGCACATTGCGAGTATCTTTTCACTATCACAGTTCTAGGAGTAGAGAGGCACAAAAAAAAAAAAAAAAAGAAGAAAGATACAAGAAAAAAACAAGAGATGAGACAAGAAAAAATTAAGCTCATTGAGGGAAAAAACTTGATTTTCTGATTCACTGAGCCTCTACAGCCTTAACCAAAAGTGGCTAAAGCTGAGTATTCAACCCTGTGATCAAGATGCAAAAGAAGGAGGGAATGAAAGAAAACATCACAGTGAGCAGAGCCACTGATGTTTGTGGGATTTGTCATGTAACAAGTACTCAATAACTGGGAGAAACAACCTACTTTCAGATCTGCTTGCATGGCTTCTTGCCCATACTAAGGCACTGGTGGAAAAGATGTATAAAGAAGTAGTTAGAAGATAGAAATTTGGAAGTCATGAGAAAAGAAGAGATTAAACATCATTACATCCAGGAGTGGCTATAGAGGTAGACATTTTAAAATCACTGTCTAAACCTGGCAGGGCAATGTCCATTCAAAGGAAGGACAATAGGTGCCAAATCAGCTTTAGTAAGAAATAAATTCAGGTGGGGAACTGAGAAAGTTACTGTACAATCAAAAAGAGCAGCATGTCTTCCTGCTGCAGCCAACAAGAAGGAATTTGAGGCAGCATGATCTGTGGTTGGAGAGGGCTACAAAGCTTCATTTCCTAATTCTACCCATTCAGGACTTTCTAAAAATGACCGCTTTTTTTGTGTCTCTTGCCACCTAGTACATCTTCCCAGCTTCAATGGGAAGTAAGGAACTCATGTGATTTGCCACCCATGGCTAAGAACTGGGAAGGGACTGCAGGGTGTTGAAGGTACTATATTAACTTGGTGGCTTCATGGAACTGTCAAGCATTGAAAAGGGAAAAAGAAACACCTGTGTTAGACCCAGATTTCCCAAAAATGCCTTAGGGTCACAGCTTCATCACAAAAAAAAGCATGCAGAAAATGTTTCACTGTATACATATTGAAAGAAAGGGAAGGACACTTCATAACGAAAGCCCAGAGAAAGCAATTATTCTGAACAAAACTCATCAGTGAGCCAGGGAAGAAGCAGCAGATGTGCATGGAACAGAAGGAGCCAAGGCACATCTCACTTCTGATTCATGAAGATGCAGCAGCCTAAGTAACACCCACTTTACATTGGGCCATGCTCAGCATGTCACCCTGGCTAGTTTCTATCTGCGGAGTGTTGCAATTGTCAACACTCAATACTGATGCTTCCTTGGCAGTGTGTAAAGCAAAGCTGCATTAACTAGCAAGTAATTCCTTGGCCCTCTGTTTTGCATCTCCTTAGCATCACACTGGAGACAGCCACACTGTGATGGGTAGTTACACTGAATCTCCCATAAGATCTAGTCCTTTCCCAAATCAGGCACATAAACTGAGACACCCGCGCACTGATTCCCCTTTCAGATGAGCTTACAGGGTTCAGGAGCACTGTCAGGAAGAGTTCACCACCACGAATGCTCTTGTCCAACTCCTTTGAGCCACCGGGATATTCATTATAGAAGATAGTGTGAGTAAAAAGACCACAGGTCTGTCGAGGCAGAACCTGGCAATATCAGAGAAAAGCAAGGTTAGGTCAGAGGCAGATGCAGCAGAATCTACACATGAATGTGTCAAAGCAGCACTCTGTGGAACAATATAAAGAGTAAGGGACATAAGTGACATAGGTTCAGAGGACTCTTTTGGTATTCCTCACAACCATTTATTCATGACAGTGCAAACAAGTCAGTGGGATCTCAGTTTAGTCTTGTTGTGTTTGGTTTTGCTCTCTGTTCGGTACTGACTTCTGAATTGTACTGAGAAACACAGAAACTGGCTCTAGCCAAGTTTCTTCTCTTTGATTTTGGAAACACTGGTGATATCAAGATTAATGTCTCTGATGCAGGTCACTAGGAGTCTGTCCCATGGGCAGGAAAGTGGGCTCTGCTTGCCCAGCTGTGCTCACCATGATTCCATTATGGATGAATCCACGCCGGTACCGGGCAGGCCGTAGGTGTGGGTATTCCTCTGTGCTTGTTACTTGGATGCTCCAAACGGATTTCCACGCCTCATAGAGTTGTGTGTGGACAGGATAAACCCCAGAATGATGGGGGGCTACGGCATAGCCCAAGTCTGTGGGAATCCCATGCTCCTGGAAGCAGAACATGCAGCTTGATCATTCAATATTTAACTAATATCCTTAATAAGGACCATATTTGGCAATGGACTCCAAGTTGGAGCAAGGTGACTGTTGTGGTTTAACCCCAACTGGCAACTAAGCACCATGCAGCCACTCGCTCACTCCTCCCCCCAGCCCCAGTGGGATGGGGAGGAGAATTGGGAAAAAAAAAAAAAAAGTAAAACTCATAGGTTGAAATAAGAACAGTTTAATAATTGAAATAAAATTAAAAAAGAAATTGTAATGAAAAGCAAGATGACAAAAAGAGAGAGAAATAAAATCCAAGACAAGTGGTGCACAATGCAATTCCTCACCACCTGCTAACTGATGACCAGCCAGTCCCTGAGCAGCGATCCCTGCCCGCCCCCGCCACCAACACCCCCCAGTTTATATACTGAGCATGACATCCTATGGCATGGAATATCCCTTTGGCTAGTTCAGGTCAGCTGTCCTGGCTGTGGTCCCTCCCAGCTTCTTGTGCACCTCCTTGCTGGCAGAGCATAGGAAACTGAAAAGCCCTTGACTTAGGATAAGTGCTACTTAGCAGACATCAGTGTTATCAACATTAATCTCATGCTAAATCCAAAACACAGCACTGGACTAGCTACTAGGAAGAAAATTAACTCTAGCCCAGCCAAAACCAGGACAGTGACAAAGTAACATGAAAACTCTCTGGATTGGGAAACCTAAAATACTGCTTGTACTTCTAGTTTTACGCAACTACATAGATATAAGGGTAATTCTGTATCAACAAGGACATCTAGCACTGGTAACAGCTGCTATAAGAAGGGTCTTGTAGCTTGCAGGTGGGATAAATCAGACTAATTCACAAGCAACAGGTCAGGTTCCTTGGTTACTACAAACTAATAAATGCTGTTAAACGGCACATCTCACTCCCACAATGCCTAGATCTGAGTCACTAGAGGAGGAAAACAAAATTTCCTTAACTGATATAGAAGGAAAGGAAGATGACGACTAGGCTCTGTCTTGTCTCTAGCAATTCAAAGAAAAGCAGACATGAAGCAAGAGACCGTTGAGGGTAAAGATATGGGGCCTGGAGCTATACTAAAATGACAGGAAATACCTGAATTTCATGGGGTTTAATTCCACTGTGTGGTTCTGGTAACAATATGAATGATGACAGCTCTGCCCTGGTTGTGTACAATAAAACCAGAGCAGAGCCCCTAAATGAAGCAGCAACCTTCTCCTTCCCACTGCTAGCCTGTTTTACATTAAATATGTGTAATTGCATTCTGTGCTTTCTGTCTCTTTGCAGAAGACTGCACTGTTATTTAACCAGTAAAAGAAGGAGCCTAAATTGTTCCTATAATGCTGCAGCTGTGCTCTGAATTCAAGATCATTCCTAATCTGTGTGTGTCATGGGAACACAAGACAGCAGCCTGTTATTCCCAAAGGGATTACCATCAAAAGAACCAAACTAGAGATGAAGAGGACATTTCTTTTCAGTGAAACATGTATACTATATTCAACTCTGGGCTGTAAACATCAAACAGACATTGTTCCATCAATGCAGGATGTTCAAGGCTTCCCCCTCCTCTGCCAAAACCCAGGGAACTTCCCCTGAACTTCCTAGATAAATAACTTCCTTCAGTATTGTCTGGGGAGGCCAGAAGTAGGGCTGTTAGCACACAGAGCATTGCATACTACCGACCAGGTGACTTCCTTACAAAACCACAGTGAATAAGGATGGAAAAGGAAATGCTTTCTCACTGCCAGAGTTTGTAAATTAATTGGATTTGGATGGTAATGCTACAAGTTCAGACCTCAGCAAACAAGAGCCTTGGGATTTGCACCCTGGAATGTAGCGGGGCTGCCTGGGGCCATGCAGGTGCCAGGAAACACTTCCCACTGCACAAGCAGGCATGCAAGTGGTGTTTCTTGCCTGAAGACAGCAGGAGCCATGCTCCAATTTAAACTTCCAGAATTGCTTTTCTTCAGTGCAGCTGAGTTTCTAGACTAGTATTTGATTTCAGTGGGGTCCAAACAGCTATCCCAGGAGAAAAATGCTTAAGGATTAATACTGTAAAGTAAATAAACCGTGATGTCCCTCACCACTGCAAACTGTTTGTTGAGCTTCATCTGCTCAGCCAGCACGGTGACATTGTGGAAAAGATGAGGCTGCATGTGACTCCACATGTGAGGGAACCACCAGAACTCCTTCCTGTGTTTGAGCAGCATGTCATCCCCTTCATCTTCCTCATCTGTACCTACAGAGAGCAGAAAAGGAAGTGCAAAAACAAAAGGCAGAAGAGGGGCTCTGTTTCAAAGCAGTGGCTAATCCCCTGAAATGCTGAGTCGTTCTAACAGAGAATCATGCTCTCTCTGTGTTACACACGCGCGCACGCACACACACACACGTGGGGGCTGTACGCAGGCGCTGGGACAAAGGAGTGCCGGGGCTTACCTGTGTGGTAGAATTTCCCTGAGAAGCCCAGGTTGAAGGTGAAATTTGGGACTAAAGTTCTCAGTTTATTCTGGGTGCTCAGTAAAGCCTGTTTGAATGAAAGGAAAAAGAAATGTTCATATTCAGTTGCTCTGTTAACATTTTTCTGTGCTCTACTGGTGCCCAGTTCAGCCTGAAGAGGTATCACAGGGGATAGGGCTAAGGCATTGTTGCCTGTGGAGTGAAGCACAGTAACCAGGTGCTCCACATACAGAGTCTTTACTTGAAGTAGTTCCACTGTACTAAATGATGACACTTTAAAATCACAGTCAGATGATGCTCTCCAATGTGAAGGACCCAGAATGTCTGTGCTAAGGCAAAAGGAAAATAAATCTCACTTCCAAGCAACACATCCCTTACTCTTTCCAGGTTCAATCTCCCTTTCTCTCCCATGTTGGCTGGGACTTTGCTATGGAACCTCTGCCCTTTCTCTAAGCCTATGTGTTAATGAAAAGGAGGATGGGGCAGCATATGGTGCACAGTCAAAGGAAGGTAAGTCAACAGTATCATGAACAGTAACTAAGTGATCCAAAGGGAGGGGGCTTTTATTTAGAGAGGAAAGGTGGATTCACAGAACTACCCATGCAAGAAGTCCTGCCACAGCAGGGAGGTATCCCTTGCTTTGTGTCCCTTGAAAGTGCCAAAATCCTTCCTTTTGTGGCAGGAAAAGTTTCCTGGCTTCTGCAAAGAAAACCTGGGGGAGCTGACATTCACAGTCATCACATCTCCTACTCTCTTACTCACATTTGCCTGCTTTAAATGTCCAAAGTAATTGCTATAGCCAAAGGGAAGGAGCCTTGTGCCACAAACCCCAAGGTCCACCACTGTACAAAGTAAGACAGCAGACAGCCTTGAGAGGAAAAAAAACAAACCCCAGAGGCTCAGTATGTCACAGACAAGTAAGACACAAACTAATTCCAGTCAAATTTCTTCTGCTGGAAAACAATAAAAAGAGAGAAGCCCTGAGATGCATGCTCTGCTGCTACCTGCGTGCTTTGGGGAAAGTGTCACTGCTGCAGCTCCCCATGGGAGAAGTTCTCAGTCAAATAGGAACCTGGCAGGAGGACTGTTGGCAGGTGACAAAGATGGTCCTTGCCCAGGCAGTTATTTAGATTGTAATAGCTTTTCTAAGAAAGCAATGGATCAGTGGCTGCACGAAGGTCAAGGTGATGACCTCTCAACAGCAGATCTGGGCTAGATGCAAATACACAAGCAACCTGGCACATAATACTGGGAAAAGTATACCAACTTTTCAAACTGTGCAGGGGAGATGGGCAGATCTTTCTGCATTAGCTGCCTTTCCCCAGCCCCAAGGAGCACAAAAGAGCACTACAACGCTGCCTTCACATGGCTCACACTCTATAGGCATTGTCTAGGCACACTGCTCCCTTGGTGGTGAAAGTGCATTCACAAATGCAGACTCTCATTCAGTGGAGGGACCAGCCTTGACACCTACCACTTAAGGATATCCTGACAAATCACTGCAGTCACTAATATTTCAAAACAGTGTTAACCAAACACTGGTCATCACGTTAATTTAAAAATTATGACTTCTGTAATTTACTTCAATCACCCATCCACTGCAAACGTATCCTGGAGCAAATAAGTTGAGTGGTTTTATTCCCAAGGCAGGCAGCCCTTGACCTCTCACACACGGCAAGGTGGGAAGACCAGACAAATTATTTCTGCAGCGCTGCAGACACTCTCAATGCTCTCTCTGAGGGAACCAAGCTTTCAGACTCTTCCCTAGAGATAAACTTATGTGGATGTGGGGAGGAGGAACAGGCAGTGACATCAAGTGCAGCCTGGGACAAATTTCAAAGATCCCAGCTCCTCCACTGCCACATGCCTACCACATCCTTATCCCAGTCCCCACCCAAGAGCAGTATTTTGATAAATGTATGGCACATGACATCTCCAGGACCTATCAAAAATGTAGGCAGTGCTTTTAAAAAGTGACATGCCAGCAGCACCAATGGCTGAAACCTCCTTTGCTGCACAAGATCCAGAATAGGCAACGGGAGGTCAAGTTCCCCTCACGCAACCCCGTAAGACACAGGGACTCATTCCATACACCAGGGAGCACTGACTAAGAGCTGTGCATCTCTCCACAAAACACCTGTCTACCCAGCTGGATGACAATACTGGATCAAATTTCAGACCAGCACCTTGAACACATCGCCCAGTATCTTAGACAGGAAAGTGCCACTTTCTTTTCTTGTCTCCAGAGCTGTCCCAAGCCTCATCACTTCTCTCTGCTGCCCTGAAAGGCACATCCAGTTCTTCAAGCTCTTCAAGCTCGGGTAGGAAGGTGGAGGGAGGAAAGACAGCGGTTAAGAGGCTTAGCATTCCTCTGCACAGAGGGAGATTTAAAGCCTGGCTGGGGTTACCATGACGACACATCTGTCTGATGATAAATCCCCAAAAGCCCTGCTCCAGCAGACAGCAATCCTTTGTGTCCAGGGAGGGACCAGGGAGAAACCTTGGGGGCCCCAGAAACTCTGAGACTATGGAGCCCTATGGAGTCCTGCTTTCCTGGCGGGTCGACTGCTAATCATGTGCCATCCCTCTGCTGATGCTGGGTCCTCTTCACAGCCACATCTATAAGGTGGCACAGTGTAAGTTTGAAGAAATGTCTTTCCCCTGCACAGGACAAAAGAGACTAAGGTGCCAGGTAAAATCTGGAAATTTGTTTCAACAAATTATGCATTCGCTGCTGCCTAGCACACTGGTTCAAAGAGGTCTGTGAGCTGTAGTACGGTAAAACAATACAGATGTGGAAATGGGCTGGGAAGATGGCACTTCTCTCTGCTCTGACGCCTCTGCACTCCGTTTCTCTCTTATAAAGTAGGATGAGTATAATAGTACTAATAATATCTTACAGATGACTCAAGTGGCATTTCATTTATATCCATAATGTGCTCTGAGATTCTTAAACAAAAGGCAATCAAGAAATGTGGAGTAGGCTATCCATTAAGATATGAAAGAGCTAGCCAGATGCAAACAGATCTTCATATGCGTATTTAAGAAATTTAGTTGCTCACATGACACAGGACAGAGGACTAGCATTTTAGTTATGCCCCATCTCTAAAAAGCTAATCCTTCCAAGTATTTCTATTTTATATTTTCTAACTATCTTCCATTCCAAAAATCCTTCCAAGATTCAGCCAAGCCCACTAGCTAGCCACAAAGGCCCCCTCCCCAGCTAAGCTCCCTTCTAGAAGCTCAGCAATGCTCACCCCAGGAAGGAACACGTGGGGTCGCCAAGAGATTCCCACCACTGGCCACCAGAACTCACAAGCCACATCAAGGCCAGACCTACTTCACGCTTATCACAGGCTATCAGCAAACATCCTCTGCAACTCACTACCTGTATTTGTGGAGGCCTTTAGTACTTAATTGGGGCAGCCAAGCTGCAGGCCCAAGTGACAGACATCTACATTCCAATGCACATTTCTGGACACAATGCAAAAAAGGTCTAAGCTTCAGTCTGATGTTTGATGCCTATCACTTTAAAAAAGGCTTTTTTATAATATGAAATGATGATAAATATTTACTTCTAAGCAAATGTTAGGGGAAAAAAATTTAAAATTGTGCCTTTTGTTGCAACCCATTTAAAAAAAATCTATATAATCTCACTGACGGATCTGCAAAGATTTACTCAACAGTCATTACAAGCTCTTGATGCTATCCAGTGAAAGACAAAAACTCTCTCAATGGGGTTAAAATTCTAGGAGCAAGGAAGAAATCAGGGGAAGCCACGGCATCCTCTCTGTACCCTCTTTTAGGCTGCTTCTTTAGGACCTAATCCTCTTCTAAGATGGCACTGTGTCCTTGGCATTGCAATAATACGGGGCTAAACCTTCATGCAACTCTGCTTTTTTAGCTATAAAATTTTTAACTTCCAAAAGTGTTTGGAGAGATTTTAGCTGTTTCATACAAACCCTAAATATTACCTCCCCTATCTCAAGTCCCTCTAAAAAGAGGCAAAAGAAAGGTGGAAATAAAGTTGAGAGTCAGATGCTGGGAAAAGATGATTGCTGTGAGTCTAGGAAAACAGTACATGGACAAATGAAGAGAAACAGATGATAAAAAATGGAGGAAGAAAGCAGAGTGCTTTGACAGCCTCTTCTCAAATGCTCATGCAAAGCATACTAGGAACATGTTGCAGAAACATCTTCTTCATAGGAACTGCCCCTGTGGACACGGGGCAGCACATTCTCAAGAGGATTTTCTGCAGTTTTCTCACTGCCCAGCAGTAGCATTAGCATAGCTCAAAACAGTGCTGTCAAAAGAGAAAGCATTCATGATACTGGTACTTTTAACTCCCCTACAATGTTAGAATCAGGGAGTTCAAAACTGCTGAGTATTTTCATTTCAGGTAAGATCAACCTCTACAATTTAGAAAGGCAAGAGCTGGCTGACAGCCACCTTCACTAGATTCTCTCTCTTCCACCCTCACCATTCATAACCCAAAATGAAATGATTGTCCTTGATTTTCACTTAGCTTGCCCTTAGACTTGCTAGCAATGATTGCTTACTATTTATGCCCTTGTAGAGACTATCAGCAAAAGTTGCAAAAACTCATCTACTTAATCTTCTTTCCTCACACCTAAAGATGACCAGGAAGGATCATAAAAGCCAGATCCTTTGGCATTAGAAATGGCTCATCTGCGTTGGCCAGTTCCATGGAGGTTTGGTAAATTCCGAGGACTGATTTTAGAAGGGGCTAAATGTGGAATAATTGACATGAGAAGGGATTCTCTGAGATTTTTTTTTGTTAACTATGTGCAGCTCAAATCTCTGGTAAACTTTACAAGGGAAAAAACGTTGGGAAAAACGTTTTCCCTGTGCAACTTCCAACTGTTTCAATTGAGGACTGCAAGCTCCTGCTGCAGCCCTTCAGCAGAAACAGACACTCAAGGGTTATTGTCTTTGAAGTAAAAGCAAGCACAATTCCTTTTTTTCTTGTTAAAGAAGAAAGCTATTCAGGTCTCCTTTAAGCATCACAAATAAAAACATTCCTCCTCTCACATAGGACGTCTACCATGGGCATGCATTTGAACAAATTATACTCAGCACTTTCTTTTAATAGTCATTTTGTCTGGGAAGCTCTCTGAACGTGGACCTGCATATGGCAAACAGGCTCACCTGGGACAGCAGAGTCAATTTTATACCTTCACACAACATCCAATCTTCAAACCACCACCCTGACTACTGTAATCTAAGCTTCAAGATAAGGAGCTGTGTGTTGAGATAACAGCCCTGAAACACAGCTTTGATATAAAAGGCCAAAGAAAATGCCAGCTGTTCTGTCACTGTTATATCCCTTTCTCTTCCCATAGCGAGAGGCTATCAACAAATCCATGTAGTTATTTCTCGCTTTTAAAAAATAAAAATTCATTAAACTCTTGTGGCTCTGCAATCAGAGAGCTTCTTTTAAATGGATAAATCTGCGTTTCATCTGCTTTGCCTGAGATTCTCTGCTTACTGATCACAGATTATTCCTCCATTTCACCCTGTTAAAACCCAAAAAAGCATCTTTTGGAATTATCTTGTCTAGGTTTGCTTTTAACATCACTAGAGCAGCCTTTGTTTCCAAGAGCTTTGGCCACCCATCTCCTGTTTTTCTCACATGGGTCTGTAACCTGCACAAACACTACAGAGGTGAGAATCTCTGCCAGTTTGGACTAGAGGGTGCAGGGCCTGCTTAGGACCAAGATAAGATTGTGATCCTTCAAAAAAAATCTTACAGAGCATTTCAGCACCTCAAAACATAGAGACACTGCAGTGAAATGAAGAAAATAAGTATTATATACAGCTGTTCCATTTTTCTATACCTGTCTGCTCAGAAACACTTTTTTTATAGCTGATTGCTTAGAAGTCAAAGGTGGCTCTGAAGATTTATTAAAGAATGAAGCAAGTAAAATAAACAATGGCATGCAATTAGAGCTGCTTCAGGCATGCAGCTTCAAATGAACTGAAAAGATAAAGCTAGGTCTAAACAGAATGCAAGGGTTTCCTTTTCCCCAAGCTAAATCTGGGATCAGAAGCAGAACTTAAAATCTCAAAGACCTGAAAAAAAGGGAGATGAACTGAGTTATGTCTTGCATGGATGCATAAAACACGTAGAAAAGATGGTAAGAGTCCTAGTGAAGTGGAAGAGTGCTCTTGGGAACATGTAACGGATGAGGTTCAGTTCAGATAAGGGGACATGCATGTACAACAGTATTTTGTTTTATACCATTGGCTCAAATGTTCTGTGCCCTTGGATGAAAGGTTAAAGGATGCTTCACTTTGAAGCTGTTTTGGAAACATGCTAAGGCAGCTGCTGTCACTATCGTCATCATAGCTGGTACCCAGGGAACTCCACCCAGGACCTATCCACGGGCAAGTGCTAAATGGGAATCCAGAGTGAAAGGCCTGGGGCCTCATACCTCTGGGAACAGCCTCAGCACACCTAGAGAAACAGGCAATGCACCTGCCTCAATGGCTACAAACCAGAACTGATGGGGAAGATACAAAGGCAAGTCCTTGGCTCCATGAGGCAGCATATGTACACATATCGCGGACTTAGAACATTTTTCCATGTACTTTCAAGGACACAGAGAATTAGAAGGGGCACTTAGTTTTTTACCTTCTTCCTACTTGTCTTCTCCTTTCCCTGTCTCACTTCCCTTTCCTCCACAAAATCTCTCTCTCTGTGCCTTTCCCATATCCTTTCCTAATAAGTCACTATTACTCAAGGAACTGCCAAGGAAAGCAAACCACAAAGATGGCATCTCTCTCTCCCAGTCATAAGGCCACAGAGACGGTTCTCATGAAGGGTTGGTCTGAGCATGTTTCCCTGGTGAATTTTTGGATATTCCCTGCCCAGGGACGGGGGTTGCTGGTGGATGATATGAGGGGGGGTGTAACGAAGGGTGAAAGAAAACCTTTCTTTTCGCAATTTGGTTATGTCCTCAAAAGCTAGATGGCTAAAACATAGACTATAGCAGTTTACACCACATGGACTGTCTCACAGTTTTGCAATATAATATACACAGTTTATATATATATCATAAATAATAACATAACAAATATAGTTTTTCTATTCTAACACAACTTGCCTTTTCCTTTCGAAAAGTAGAGTTTACAGCTACAAATAGGTTGACAGAGGAAATCTGCATATGCTTGTTTCCCATGTTAAAGAGGAGACAGGATAGACCACCACAGACATCCTCCTCTTAAATTCAGAGAGGCCAGCTACAGGTCCCAGAATGAAAAATTCTCCATTTAAACCTGCAAAACTGTTGAGAGAATCACGCACAGTGCCTCAGCATCTTTGCAGGCTACTTCTCTGTTTAAGATGAGAACAATTGCAGCAATCAACTCACTCAAATTAAATGCAACCTTAACTTTCCTTGCATACCACACACACTAGATATTTGTCTGGGGCCTGTAGTTTTTCTGGGGAATTTACCTCTACATCAGACACCTTCATGCGAGTGCCCTCTTTTCCCACAAATATATCATCAATGTCGACGAGGATATAGCGATCGAGTGTGAGACAGAGGCGCTTGCCAGTCAAGTAGGCAATGGCATCCACAAAAATGAGTTTGTGCAGCCAAAAATTGAGGTTATTGCCAAAGAGAACCCGCTGGATCCCATCATGCAGGCCCAGGTCCTGCACCACTGTGGCATGCAATGCTTTGTGGGTGGCCAGGTGAGGAATGGACTCTGAGGACTTCGTGCTGGCCAACAGCACTGGCTCGTAGGTGCTGTGGTTTGACTGGAACACAGTCCAGTCATCACCAGGCAGGGGACCCTGCTCCACCTCGTTAGCCCGCGTGACGTAGAGCAGGGGAGCACTAGGGTTGATGTGATAGTCCCGCAGCCCCAAGTTGGAATGTAGGAAAAGGGGGAAACCCTTGAGCTGTGCACTGAGCAGGCTGTTCTCATTGGCTTTGAAAAAGCCTATAATCCCCACTCCATACTCTACACAGTATTTGTCCAGCAGCTCTCGGTTCCAAGCATCTAGGTTCACATATTTAAGGATGTTCTCATAGATAATAAGAGCATAGCGTCCTCTATCTTTGTCTGTCAGGGTGGGCATATCTCCTTTGCCAGGAGCAATCTCTGTCCTGTATTTAAACCGGCTAGATTCCAGGATGGCCACTATTTCCTGCCCCAGCTGGGAGTAAATGCTTTCCACAAAGACTAGCACCACAGGATCTGTGCGTGAGGTGTCCACAGATTTCGTGAGCCTCCAGCTGGCTTGCGGTGGGATCAGGATGCGGTGCTGGTTGCTGCAGTCACTGAAGGGCAGGGGTGGTGGCTCCTTGATTTTGGGACTGTTAGTGACGTAGTAAGCCAGGATGCACATGGAAATCAGGCTGAAGGCAATGAGCAGCAAGATCAATCTGTGCAGCTCCAGCTGTCGCACGTGCCGCACTACTTTCCACAACTGAATCATGGTGAGGCGGGCTGCCCACCCCCTCCTCACACTCTGCACCCACGTTGCTCTTGAAACCTCCAGTGCCGCTGTGGCAGTACCCAGCAGCAGCTTGCAAAAAAGAAAGAGCAGCTGCGGAGAGAGACAAAGCTAAAGGAAACAGCTACAAGGCTAGACTCCCAGGGATCTGCCATTTATCTCAAGTAACCATGGCCCTCAATTCCCATTGCTCTTTTCTGTGCTTCCTCCTGTTCCTCTCCTCTCACTCAGGAAAGTCTTTTGGAGGAGCAAGGTTTCCTGAATCTCGTCTCCAACAGCAAATCAGTCTGTCATCCTGTGCACAAGCAGTTTCAGCTCAGCCTTCCCAGGTGTCCTGTTTCTCATTTAGCTGTTTCACATTCACATGATGGCACCTTCGCTTTGCATCCTGCAATTTAAAAAGAAAAAGTCAATTCTCAGTATGGATTTATGGTATTTAATGGGTTTGAGATGAAATGGCAGGATCAGCAGGTGCTAGGTGGGCAGCATCACTCGCCTGTCAGCAGGCAGACCTGTTCCCTGGGAAGTGACGCACACCGTTTGTGCATGAGCTTGGCAGAACAACCAATACGGCCTTTGGAAGAAAGGTCCTGACAGTGCACAGGGACTCAGGATTCGCTTTGGGGTGAGATTCTCACACACTACAGCAAACAGAGCTGGTGTACCTGGCCTTCCCCCACTCCTCTTTATGCCACTGAACAGAAAACATGAACCTCTTTTATTCTAGCCTATATTTCAAAATTAACAAGAGGAGGAGAGATCCCTCACATTCTCTGTCTTGTCTTGTTCACATACTAATGACGATGAGTCCAAGTCCTTGCCAGTGACTTCCTAGGCCCTTGGGATACAGCTGTCCCGAACCCAGCAGGATGCCTCAAATTCCGACCAGTTCTCTTGCCCCACAGCTCCTGATTTCCATGGTTCCCACCCCTCTCTACAAGGCCACCCCACTTGTCCTGGGAACTCAAGTTCTTCCAGGGCTCTCAAAACACAGCTCTGGGGAGGCATTGTCCCTCAGGCAACATGGAGCCAGGGTGCACAGGCTGCCCATGCTCTGCACACGTAATTGCTGCCAATTGATTCAGTGGCAGTTGGAGAGGAAACATCTCCTGAAACCTTCCTCACCTTTCCTCATATGCCACTGAAGAGCATGAAGCCAGTTTTAAATCACCAACAGCACGACATAAATTTGGGTTGGTCTCAAACACATGAAAGCTTGTTAGGAAGCTCTCTCACCTCCCGCTTTGTATTTATGACAGCAGACTATTTCACCATATGTTGTTATTTTTCTAGGATAAAATGCTCAACAAAGCCAACAAACACCAAGCCATCTAAAATATAAACACTAGGGAAAGTAACTAAATTGCTCCTTGGTTTAAAACTAATACAAAATCCCTGTGTAGTTTTCTCTCCCTTACCAGAAGTCTGACTTACCTACAGCAATAGCCCCCAGGTGTGCATTACTTGGGATACAGGCATATTTTGGGGGAGCACCTGCTGCCCCTCCCAGCACAGTGCAAGGACACCCTGAATGCCAGATCTTCCTCACCAAGTCAGTCATGCCCAAAATGAGCTCTCTGTAAAAGTTAAACATTTTTTTTCTCTCAAAACCTTTCTTACTCACACACCCACACTCCTGCAGACACGTGTTCCACCACATACAATCCCTCTAACCACCTGGCATAGCTTACAACACCAGGAGGCACAAGAGCAACAATAACGTAAAGTACTACCAAAACAGTTCATCCTTTCTCCATTCCTCCCATTTTTGAACCTTTTTGTTACTACCATTCTGATAAAACAAAGAATAGTAGAAGACTAGTTTGTTCATGAGTTTAAGACAGACATAAGGTTTTTATATAGTAAAGTCAGGGTTTTAACAACTAGCTCCACCAGAAAGGAAACTACTTGCGAGACAGATGCTTATTTTGTAATGTGTATTACTAAACAGAAAAAAATACTTCTGAGTCAGGGAAAATACCAGTTCACAGATGAGGCCAAAAGTCCCACTCTGAAGACTCCCACTAGGCTGTTTTCCGAACGGCTGGTGCAGCTTGAAGCACAGACAAAAAAACCCAAGCAGATTTTATATGGAGAGATATAATATTGCTAACTTCGTGACAGCAGATGGAAAAGAGTCAGAGTGCTCTTTACACAAGCCTTATAATACCATTAAGTATTATCTCAAATAACTTCCATGCTATAAGCTCGGCAGAGCAGGGACTGGCTTGTGTAGTGCACAATGAAACCTCAGCCCCGATGAGGTCTTCAGAATAGCTGTAAGACTGTAAATGTAAAGTATATTACAGAAATAATTTTCCACTGCAGAAACTGAGACGCAGCAAATCTTATTGACGGTCACACTGCAAGGCAGCAATTAATCAAGATTAAAAAAAAAATAAAAATCTCTGTTCCCCAGACTCCAAATGGATCGAGTCTCCATTCCCAAATGGCCCTCTGTAATGACAGAGCTGGATTTGGAAATCCAGCTCAGTCTGTGAAAATAAGCTGTGTTTTCTTCAACACAGACAACCAATCACCTTTCAGTTTTGTCTCTACATGCTGTTAATTTCTTACTGGAAAAATGACAAGGGAGAGAAGGAGAGAAATTACTATGGAAAGATGTAAAAAACAGAATTCTCGCAGTTTTTTCCTTGTTTTGTTACTGACGTGACAACTGGTTTTGAATGCATGACTCTCTGGACTGAGTGCAGGATATGGCTTGTAATTCCAGTTCAAGTCAGGTTCAGTCCTAGTGATACAACGGGACTGCCAGTGTATCAGCATAGTACCCAAAAACATGTGCCACCTTTCAAAAGCAACCAGGAAAATAACCTTTCCACCTCCACAATGAGCCTTTCCCCTCCCACTGACTCTGCAAAGAAAGCCCCAATGATACCACCCTTGTGCTTGGCACTAGAGTTCCGAAGTTGCACTGAACTAGAGAGAGGCAGGAGCCAGTGGAGGCAGAAGTCAGTAGGGCAGACAGAAGTTAGATAGAAACATATAATAAACACTGTATCTTTTTTATGAGGTGAATTCCCTGTTAAGACACAATATATACAGAGCTCCATGGGTATCAGCTGCTATGAGAAGTGGTCTTCCTTCTACTCCTGTGCAACAAATTCATGCAGAACACTCCACTCAGATTCCTACACGCTTGATTTTCACCAAGAAGACTGAGAATTCCAAGTCAGTGTCTTCCCAAATAGCTCACATCCTTTTACTTTTTAATCCCATTGGATAAAATAGAATAATTAGACTATTTGGGATTCAAAAGTTCACTACCTTAACATGTATTAGACAAGAAGTTGTTTTTGCAGAAAATAATCTAAAGAGGGACGTACAGGCTCAGGAGCCCACGCATTGCCTGCAGAAATTTCCAAGCAAGTGTTTCTGGGGTAGAATTTATAATCTAAACACCACGGTGTCCTGGTTTCAGCTGGGATAAAGTTAATTTTCTTCTTAGTAGCTGGTACAGCGCGTTTTGGACTTAGTGTGAGAATAATGTTGATAACACACTGATGTTTTATTTGTTGCTAAGTAGCTCTTACCCTAAGTTAAGGATTTTTCACAATTTCCCATGCTCTGCCAGCAAGCAGGTGTACAAGAAGTTGGGAGGGAGCATAGCCAGGACAGCTGACCTGAACTAGCCGAAAGGATATTCCATACCATAGAACGTCATGCTCAGTATGTAAACTGGGAGGGGCAGATCACTGTTCAGGCATCGGTCAGTGGGTGGTGAGTAACCACATTCTGCATCTCTTAGTTTTTCCTGGTTTTTTTATTTATTTATTTATTTTTATTCCTTTTTGTTACAATTATCATTATATTTTATTATTATTATTATTGTTAGTATTACATTTTATTTTACTTTAGTTATTAAATCATTCTTATTTCAACCCATGAGTTTTACTTTTTTCCCCAATTCTCCTCCCCATCCCACTGGGGATGAGGGGGTGCAGAGTGAGCGAGCAGCTGTGTGGTGCCTGGTTGCTGGCTGGGCTTAAACCACAACACATGGTAATAGTAAGAAAAACCAAGAGTATGCTTATCTATGCAAAAGCCTGGCAAAGCACTGTACTACTTTTACAACTCTTTATCCCCAAAACATCAACCTGGAAAACACTTCTCTTCCCTGGTTACACTCACTCACCTCTCCAATTTCATTTTTAGTGTTGAACTGAGTCTCTATTTTGCAAAAAGCTGGAGCTTCAGTTTCCCAGATATTGGCTTAAAGATGAAAATCACAAGACAACTGGATTATTCTGTAGAACAATGATGAAACCAGAGTTTAAGCTAGGCTGCCACACCTGCAGTGCCCAGCTGAGGGGCAAGAAGGAGAGGAACCCCCTTTGCCGGGCACTTCTGAATCACAGCAGTGTTTTGGTAACAATGGCTCCATTCAAGCCTCTAGGGAAGCTCCCAAACAAGCCCCCATTTGTTACATGGGTGAGCTCAAAAAAACAAATTTAAAAAAAAAGGCCTGTATCAGATTGCTGCTCAAGAATCTGTCAGCTCTGATCTCTTTAACAAGGCTTCACAGCCAGAGGGCATGCCAGCTGGCATGGTATGCATTTAGCTCTTTGGGGACCACATCAGCTGGTTTAGGTTCAAATGAAAAGAAAAAAAAAAAAGCAACAAAACAAATATACCAGTGAAAATTTATATGAAAAGGTGAGAGAGCTGTCAGAAACCATCCATACCCAAAACACAAAGCCCAGAAAGATCTACACTGGAGAAAGAAAAGAAGAAGAAAAAAAAAAAAAAATCACACTGAAAATTGCTTCCTCTTAAATGAAAAAGAAAATACCGGTGTCCTCTTTTGAGATCAAACTCCTTGAAATCTAACACCACAAACCCCCCCAAGTTTATAAATAAATAAAGATCCATTCCAAACTCCTGCCAGGACTGCCTGAATGCGAATTGCAGGAGGCGGCAGTCAGATCGTACAGCAAGGATGAAGTGTTTCACCGGTGCAAGGATGCAGGCTCAGCAGGCTCCCGTCCTGCCAGAAAAGCATCGCTAGATCAGAGAGCATCAGCTGTAAGGTCAGTTATCTCACAAATCACCAGCATTAAGACAAACACTTTATAAAACTTAGATGTTCTGTTTCCTAGTGATATACAGTGTTAATGTGAAACATAAACCATTTTGTGAATTATCAGCTGCTAAGCCACATGGCAACTGATGTGATATGAAAGCAAGAGAACAATCAGAATTGTGTGGTTTTAATGGCTGATCTCCAGATACTTCCAACGCTTGGAAAATATTGTGGGGGATCGGTACAAATGATCAAAACCAGCACTTATCCAAAACCAGTGACCAGAATATATGTATTTGGGGTTGCTGGTAGTACCTTCATGCCAAGGCACATGGAAAATAATT